TACATTAATTCTACTCCTGTTGATTTCAATTTATTTTTGAAAATTATATATATTTTAAGACATAACTTGATGATTTGATATATACATATTGTGAAATGATCAGCATTATCAGACTAATTAACACATTTATCACTACACAACAGGTAATATTTAGTGCAGGGTGAGAAATCCTAGGATTTACTTTGTGAACAAATTTCAAGTATACAGTACAGTACGTGAGCTGTAGCCACTATGCTATACAATAGATCTCCAGAACTTATTCACCTGTATGACCAAGACTCTGTACCCTGCTGTGGTTTGGATAATTCCCCCAAAGACCCATTTGTTAAAGACTTGGTCATTGCCCTCTGGTGCTATTGGCAGGTGGTAGAATCTTTAAGATGTAGGACTTCATAAGAGGAAATTAAGTCACTGGAGGTGTGTCCTTGAGGGGAATATTCGAATCCCAATCTTTCCTCTCTTTTTTTGCTTTTCAGCATCTAAATCTTATAGATTTAAGGTATATAAAGAGGTTGCTCCACTATGGAATCTCTGCTATGATGTGCTGCCTCACCACAGGATCAAAGCAACAGGGCCAATTGACCATGGACTAGAACTTCTGAAACTGTGAGTTAAATAAACCTTTCCTATTTTTAAATTGATTATCTCAGGTATTATGGTACTGTAACAGAAACCTATCACAAACCCCCTGACCAACATCTTTCCATTCTCCCTATCTGGTACTACCATTTTACATTTATTTCTATGAGTTTGATTATTTTAGATTTCATGTATTAGTGAGATTATCAGTATTTCTTTTTCTGTGGCTGGCTTATCTTTCTTAGCATAATAACCTTCAGACCCATTATTGTCATAAATGGCAGATTTCCTTCTTTTTCAAGGCTAAATAATATTCTGCTGGAAAAGATCAAATATGGTGGGCTAGAGGGAGGCTGCATTCTCTGTTGCTCTATGACCTGGGATTCAAGTAGTGGGAATACCATTTCTTTGTGAGTTATTAGAAGACCCCCGACAGCTGCTCCTGTGTAGGAATCACGGCCATGGTACCTGCACATGTCTCCAGGCCTCAGAGGCAGCACAGGAATTCTGGCTACTTTCCCATGAGGGACCACTAGCTGCCGTTCCTGAGCAGGACCAAAAGCATCAGCACCCACACAGGACTCCTGGCCACCCACCCATACAGTAATCCCAGCAGCCACTGCCACACAGGCTACCCAGCCACTGCCCACATGCAGGAATCCAACCACCACTCCTTGCACCCCCATCTACCATCGTGGGGCTCCTCAGGTCACCTCCATATTGGGTTGCTGCAACCACTGCCATAGTCCACTGCACGTGGTAGCCTGCACCTGGAAACATCATACAGGGTCTAGAGACAGTCACCAGCCACAACACTGCAGGCCAACACCACTGCCCGGCACCACCCAACCCAACACCCCATTGCTGAAAGCAATCGCCTCCATCTTGGGACACCTTTGTCGCCATCTTGAGTTGGGGCAAGTCCCAGCATGAAACACTGGCTGGGACTTAGAGGCAATATCAAGAAGAAGTATTATAACCCTGTAGGGACACAGTAAGCCTATAGGGTAAAAACTGTAATGTCTCGGATCCGCAGTGCTAGAAGGGAAGACACGAAAACATGAAAAAAACAAGGGAAGAAAGTGCCCCAAACAAACCAAGATACAACATTATTAGAATCAATGGCCAGCATAATAGAAGAAATGACAGAGAAGGAGTTCAGGATATACATAATTAAAATGTTTTGTGAATTAAAGGATGATATGAGAAAGCAAACACAGGCAGCGAAAGATCATTTCACTAAAGAGATACATAAGCAAATACAGGGAGAAAAGATTACTTCAATAAAAAGGTAAAGGTTCTGAAAAAAAACAGAAATAAAAGAAACAATAAGCCAAATTAAAAACTCAATAGAAAGCACTACCAAGAGATTAGATCACTTGGAAGACAGGACCTCAGACAATGAAACAAAATATATAATCTTGAAAAAAATGTTGACCACACAGTGAAGATGGTAAGAAACCATAAGCAGAACATTTAAGAATCATGGGATAACAAAGAAAGACCAAATTTAAGAATGATTGGAATAGAGGAAGGCATAGAGTTACAAACCAAAGGAATGAACAATCTATTTAATGAAATAATGTCTGAAAATTTTCCAAACATGAAGAATGAATTGGAAGATCAAATACAAAAGGCTTACACAATGACAAAGGTACAAGATCACAACACAGCCACACCAAGCACATTATAATGAAAATTCAAGCATACATAATAAGGAGAGAATATTAAAAGTCACAAGAGAAAGGAATCAGATTACATATGTGGGAAACCAATTATGATATCATCAGATTTTTCAACCTAGACCCTGAAAGCTAGAAGATCCTGGAACAACATATAGCAAGATCTGAAAGAAAATGGATGCCAACCAAGAATTTTATATCCAGCAAAATTAAGCTTTATATTTGAAGACAAAATAAAAATCTTCCATGATAAACAAAAGTTAAAAGAATTTACAACTAGAAAGCCTGCACCACAGAGCATCCTCAGCAAAATATTCCATGAGGAGGAAATGAAAAACAACAATGAAAATAAGCAAAGGGAGGTATTACACTAAAGGAAAAACTAATCAAAGGAGAAACCAAGTCAAGTTAAATACCAAAAATAAATAAAAATGACTGGGAATACAAATCACATCTCAATAATTGCCGCATCCGGCCTCAGGAACCGAGTCCGGCGAGGGACGTCGAGGTTAAAAAAAAAACAAAACACACAGGACACCAAGGTTCTTCATCCAGGAGGAGGCATGTGTGCGCGCTTTATTGCCAAATTTGTTCCCCTTAAATATCTTTTGTAACAGCTGGGGAAATGACTCAAAAGCGAGGAGGGAAGAGTAATAACTGCGTCCTTGGGTTACCGTCATCGTCCCCTATCAGGAGGCTCCGAACAGGTCAAGATGTTCCGAGAGACACATGTGCTCAAGGCAGATAAACAGGAAACCGCAAACCTGCATCACGACCCTGTGAGCTGGCCACTTTGACATGCAGAACAAGGAACTGGGGGCTGGGCCCGGGGGCCAGGGAAGGCCTGCTACCAGCAAATAATAACCCTAAATGTTAATGGCCTAAACTCATCAATCAAAAGACATAGACTGGCAGATTGGATTTTAAAAGAAAGAGCCAACAATATGCTGCCTTCAAGAGACTCATCTGATAGGAAAAGCCATCCACAGACTGAAGGTGAAAGGTTGGGAAAAAATCATATCACTCACATGGACTGCAGAAAAAAAATAGGGGTTTTCATCCTCATATAAAATAAAGTAGACTTCATGCCAAAGTTAATCAAAAGGGATAAAGAAGGACATTTCATACTGTTTAAGGGAACCATACATCAACAAGCCATAAAAATTATAAATATATATGCCTCAAATAATGGAACATCTACATTCATCAAAAAACTCTTCTCAAGTTCAAGAATTATATACACCAAAACATAATAATTCTGGATGACTTTAACACACTTCTTTCACCACTGGATAGATCTTCCAAACAAAAGCTAAACAAAGAAACTATAGAACTCAATAATACAAACAACAATAAGTGTTGGCAAGGATGTGGGAAAAGGGTATACTCATACATTACTGGTGGGACTGCAAATTGGTACAACCAATATGGAAAGCAGCATGGAGATTCTTTGGAAAACTTAGAATGGAACTACTATTTCACCCAACTATCCCACTCCTCGGTTTAGACCCAAATAACTTAAAAACACCATACTACAGTGACACAACCACATCAATGTTTATAACAGCACAATTCACAATAGTTCAACTGTGAAACCAACCTAGATACCCTTCGGTAGATAAATGGATAAAGAAAATGTGGTATATATACACAATAGAATATTACTCAGCATTAGAAGAGAATAAAATCATGGCATTTTCAGATGAAGTTGGAGAATATTATGCTAAGTTAAGTAAGCCAATCCCAAAAAACCAAATGACGAATGTTTTCTCTGATATGTAGATGTTGACCCATATGAGGATGGGGGGGGTGCATGGGAGGAATGGAAGAACTTTAGATAGGGCAGATCGGGGTGGGTGGGTTATGGGGGTAGGAAAGATGGTGGAATGAGATGGACATCATTACCCTAAGTACATGTATGAAGACATGAAAGGTGTGACTCTACCTTGTGTACAGAGACATGATAAATGGTGCTCTATATGTGTATTTTGAATTGAAATGCATTCTGTCATATATAACAAATTAGAATGAATGGATAAATAAATAAATAAACAAAATCTCTGTAAGCAAATAACACATCTTGTTTATACATCATCCGTCAATGGAAATTTATGTTTTTTTCGTATTTTGACTATTGTAAATAATGCTACAATGAACATGAGAATGCAAGCATCCTTTTGAGATCTCAATTTCAGTCCTTTTGGATAAATACCCATAAGTGGAATTGTTGAGCTGCACAGCAGTTCTATTGCATTGTTTTCCATAATGGCTATTCCAATTTTTATTCTTATTAGTTGTGTACCAGGTTATCCGTTTCTCTACATCCTCTCCAATACTTGGTTTCCTTTGTTGAAATAATAGTTATCCTAATCAGTGGGCTTCTCTCTTTCTTTTTTTCTTCTATTGAGTAGTGTTAGTTCCTTGTGTTTTTAAATATTAACCACTTATCAGATAGATGATTTGTAAATATTTTTGCTCATTATTTTTGCCTTTTCATTTTGATTTTTTCCCTTTTTTGTTCAGAGTTTGTAGTTTGATGTGGTCACACAGTTACCTATGCTTTTGTTTTCCTATGCCAAAAAACATTACCAGTACTAGTGTCAAGGGGCTTTTTTGCCTATGTTTTCTTCTCAGAAGTTTAAAATTTCAGATCTTACATTTAAGGCCTTAATCAACTTTGAATTGATTTTGTGTATAGTGCAAGCTAAGGACCAATTTCATTCTTTTACCTGTGGATAGCCAGTTTCCTCAATAGCATTTATTGAACAGTCTACCTTTTACACATCGTGGATTCTTCATACCCATTTGTAGAGAAGAATTAACCCTATATGTGTAGATCTATTTTGAGGTTCTTCACTCTGTTCCATTAGTCTGTTTCTGTTTCAAAGGAAAGCTAACTTGTGAGAATCCTGTTGACAGAAGCAAACCTCATTAGTAACTAAGATATCTTAAGGTATGAAATTTTAAAAAGAGAGAGAATTCACAAATTCCTTAGAGTAAGTAGTTTAGATGCCAATAACAGCTCTTGGGTACTAGTGAAACATCAATGGATGAGAGATTAATTCTATAATTGTTCCATTGTTTTTACCAACAGACTGTGTGGCATAATTCTAGCTCAAGACACATTGATTTACTTATGTTTGCCAAAGGGCTTTGCCACATTCTAAATTTAAATCTGCCAACTTCCAAACTTGCTATTTCTTATTCTCATACAGTAAATTCTTATTTTGTAACTTTAGGAAGCTTTTTGTTGATGTAAACAGTTTGTCATAATTTAAAATAATATATGTGGGAGGCCAACCTTATGGGTGACTGAGTTTCACTCCCCATCTGGGTGCTGAGGCACTCAGTCACAGAAATGGGTGTGTCTTGCTACAGCCCCATGGGTGAAGGTATGCTCACCTGTTCCTTTGAAATTTAACCCCTTGCCCTGTTTAGGATAGAATCTTCCATGGAAGTGCCTTGTGTGTGTCCCCTCCTCTTACTGTGCCCTTGGGTGTGGCCTACCCAGGTGTCAGTCAACCTGCTGACAGTGGACATCATGAAGATAGACTCAGCCCCCTGAAACCTGACCCCTTGCCTCATTTGAATAGCTTCTCCTCAATAAAAGGGGTCAGCATGTACTCTTGCTCTCTCTTTTTCTGTGGACCCTTAAGGTCAGAGGAGCCATCACATCGACCCCAAAGAAAAAGGTATTTGTGTCTCTTGTGTGGTTATTTCGTGTAGCCCAGTTAGCCCAGTTAAACTAGAGTGACCCCTGAGCCTTTTAGTCGCAAGAACAGAAACTCGGCAAATATATTTGTTTCTTAATTCACTTTTCAGTTCCTGGAATATGGCAATATATTTTAGCATTAATAGATAACTGTACTGTTTAAATGAATATAAATTTATGGTATTTATGTCATTAACATAATGCATTTAACTTCAAATATCATATTCTGTGTAAAGATTTTGAAATATTAGCCACTCATACATATTTGAGACAACTGTCTTAGCTAAGGTACAAATTCAGTATGTTAGTGAATTTGATTTGACATTTTATTTTGTAGTTTTGAATTTATTTTTGTGGGGGATATTACCCTATAATTTACTTTTTTAAAATTTTCTTTGGGTTATCATCATGGCAAATCATCTGTCCATTTCTCACCTGTCAGCAGAGGTTGTTCATATAACATTGGAATTATCTTCTAATAGCAAACATTTCATCTACAAAATAAACAAATAAATAAAAGAGTACACACATCAAATTTTCTGATACAATCTTAGTTTAGATCATGTAACTAACTCATCTGATAGAGTTGCATCCCAGCATTCGCAAAATGTCAGGAAAAAAACACAAATAACCAAAAAATATTTATTAAACATTAAAAGTAAGTATTTCATTTTAAAATTAACACTATTGGGAATAGGTCTTGAAAATGATGAACAATGAACAACTGGTGAAAAAACTCAAATGCTGAACTGGGCCTAATAAAATATCTATTCCAATCTGTACTCAACATTTAGCACATTAGACTTGTGTTTCATCGTCTTCTAAATTAAACCCTATTTAAGGGTAAACATTATGTCTTTTTTTCTCTGCACTGTTTAGCATAGCCTGTGAAATAACAAAAACAGCTAGTTGGTATTTATTGGGTGTGTCTCATTCTTTAATAAACATTTTCCCTATTCTGCTCTATACGACCTACATGGTAGTACAATTGGCCCATTTATAGATGAAGAAATGGAAGCTCACAGAGATTATGTAATATATCTGAGATTTTATAGCAGCTAAGTAACTGAGTCAAGATCTGACCAGAGTTGTGATTCACTATTTCCATCATATCCACCCACTCTATGCACTTATTGAGTAGTATGCTAGTCAGCTTCCTAACACTATAACTGACACTTGAGATAATCAAGCTATATAATGAAAAGGTAGATTTCAATTTACAGTTTTAGAGGCTCCAATCATGATCAGGTGGATCTATTGCACTTAGGCTTCCACATCCCCACTATCATCCCCACCTCCATCTACCTGTTAGTCAGCTTTATATCACTGTGACAAAATACCTGAGATAAATAATTCACATGGAGGAAAGATATTTTGGCTCACAGCTACAGAAGCTTCAGTCTGTGGTGCTAGTGAAGGCCATGCTTTTGGACTTTAGTGAGTCAAAACATCATGGAGGGGAGTGCATGGCTGAACAAAGCTGCTCACTTCCTGAAGGTAGGAAAGTAAAAATAAAGTTTGCTTTTACAGCAAAGCCCCTCCCTGCCAAACCCATTAAGTTATGAAACCATACATGGATTAATCCTCTTATAAGGTCATAGATTTCATGATCCAATCACCTCCAAAAGGTCCCACCTCTCAATGTGTGGCACTGAAGATCAAGGCTTCTACACAAGAGATTTTGGGGTCCATTTAAGATCCATAACATACTAAGTCTCCCTTTAAAAGAAGAATATGAGTGATGCTTCTATAATTCAAGTTATTTTTAACAAAACCAGGCAATGTAGTTCAATAATCCCTCACCTGACTAGCATGCACAAGGCCCTGGGTCTGATCCCTGGCACTGCAAAAAGTAGAATGAAATAAAAAATAAAAGATCATATCATTATTTTTTCTCTAAACACTTCAAGAAACCTGCATGTTATAAAACTCAAACTCCTTAGGAATCTCTATGGTCTGTGCAATCTCAATTCCTCTCCCCACTCCTCCATCTCTTCTATTTCCACATGACTTCTAACCTCTGAGGTGCTTCTTGAACGGGCCGAATTTGGTACTGACTAGGAGCCACAGAGTTGACTGTTTCTTTTTCCTGGGCAGCTTTTCTCCCACATTATCAGCTTTTCTCAGAATAACAGCTTCCCACCCAGATAACTGCTTAGTTTACTCCATTGCCTTCCTTAAGCTTTTGGCTCAGTGTAACCTTTTCAAGTAAGTCTATTCTGAGAATCCCATTTAAAGTTGCAACATGCCTCTTTACCCGCTCATCTTTTATCCTGTTCTACTTTTTTCCTATATCTTGTATTTATAGCGCACCAAACAACTCAGAGGATCATTTTCTTTCTAGTAAAATGTAACAAAATAGGGCAAAGGTTGTTTTGTCCCATTACACTGAGTGTTTGGCATGATAACAAACGTTCAACGAAGGAGCCCAGGAACTCATCCATTTACTGTTCATACATCTGGGTAGGCTACCTGCACTCAATCTCCGCACCTTGCTTCCAAAGCCCTCTATTTTTTTAAAGACCCTCAGGACACCGGAAGTAAAAGCCCACAAAGCGGGTCAGAAAAGAGAGCCACTTCCGTTTCCGTAGGGAGCAAAAGGAGCAAACATGGCGAAGGCCAGCGAAAAGAATGGCAGCAGCGGGAAAAAAAGCCTAAAAAGGAAAGCCGCTACCAAAGAACCTCAAGAGGCTGCAGTTGCTGAGGATGGAGCGACGGAAAGGGGGGCCCAACCCCCGAAAGCCGCTGCCTTTCCCCCAGGCTTCAGCATTTCGGAGATTAAGAACAAACAGCGGCGTCACTTGATGTTCACGCGGTGGAAGCAGCAGCAGCGGAAGGTATGGAGGGGCGGAGGTTGCCGGGCGCATGCGTGGTGTGCGTCGCGTGGAGGATTCGGGGGCTCACGAAATCTAGCTTGTACTTTGAAAGCCGGTGGGCGCGCAGTGTTTGATCCCAAAGGGTGATGCTAGTGGCTCGCGTGCCCTGGCCCTCGCGCTCTGCTTTGGAGACTTGTGTACAGCCTTTTGCCTGATCGTGTGGGTGGAAAGTTCCCTATCATCTGGGCGGAGGGCTCATTCCGAGGGTTCTCCACTTAGAAGGAAAATCCGCAGTCCTGTTTTCCTAATGAGAATTATTCCCTCATTGCCTGGAAGGCGAGAGTCTCAATCCTTGTTTTACCCTGCCTACCCAACTTTGGTTAATTTTTAGCATTTGTGATCCGGGCGATACATAACAAGTTTAAAATATTGTTTCTGATTCCTGCAGCACCTCTTATTGAAGTTTTAAGTTTCTAGTAATTATATTAGTTCTTTAAAGCTTTGTGCTCTGAGAGGTAAACAAACTGAAACAAATGACTCCCCCAAGGTCCTAATGCTTATCTGTGATTAAATCGCTGTTGGAGAAAAGCATATGCTTGTTTTTGCATATCATAGAAATTCACACGTAGTATTCTTTTTATTTGCCTGTCTCCTCTTATTAGACTTTTTGAGGCCAGGGATTGATTCTTACATAAGTGCCATTGTGCCACTGGAGTACATTCAAAGGACATCTAACCTATTCTGGTATGCAAGTATCCGATGGGAAATCCTAGGAGTCTTCTTGGGACAGTGACTTCAGAAACAATGAATTGAGGGTCAATTGGCATTGGGGGGGAAAAGTATGTTCTGTTGTGTGTTAAGCATTCTGTCTAGAAATCAAACCATACGGATTTATAACAAATAATCCTACCCGACTTTGCACATTTTTAATTTTTAAAAGAATATTTTAATTATAAAATATGAGGATAACTAGGGATAATTTTATTGGAAGCAACTTGAAACTCATCTCCCACTTCTATTTTTAGTGCTTTCTAACAAATTCAACTATCATAACCATGATCTTTAGGATGTAATCATTTATGTAAAACAAAACTTGTTAAATTGTTTAGATACATATATTTAATTTTTTGAGTAGCAAAAAAGGTGGTGAAATTTTAAATGCTCAAACTTGCCAGTTTACACTTTTTTTTGAAAAAGCAAGATCTTTGTTAAACAAATCCTATTGATTGGCTTATAGTAATTTAGATATAAAAATCTATATCTGAATGGTTATTTTAATGGATTACAAGTGTTATATTCATAGCATTATCAATTTGTAGTTTCAGTATGTATTTGTGATATAACTTGTAGTTTCTTAATATTGTTCTTTTGTTTTTATCCCTTTAGGAAAAGTTAGCAGCCAAGAAAAAACTGAAAAAAGAGAGAGAGGCTCTTGGTGATAAGGTAAATAAATTTTTAGTCATCTGTTTTCTATCTTGGCTATTACATTCATAACTTCTAAATTTTTATGAAATATTTTATATTTATAGAAAGATGCAAAAATAACATAGCAAACACTTTTCTGTCCTTGCTCCTGCCTACTACTTCCTGATGGCTTTTCCTTCCAAAGAGAATCATTTACATGAAATTGCTTATTTTTTCCATGCACTTCTTATGCCATTAATATATATGTGTACGTAAATAGTAAGCATAATGATGGTGTTTTGGATGTCTTTTTTATATGTTTGGGAATGGGAAGACTCCTCAAGACATTTTGATGTTTAGCTTTTGTGACTTGAAGCAAAAAAGGCTTTTTATCAGGCAAGACCGTGGAAAGACCAGATGGAGTCTTTTCTATAGTAGAGTGGAGTTCATGTAAGAATGAGAGCTGATAAAGAAGATTATGAACCTGTATAGATAAGCACTATTTAAAAATACTCCCACATTGTTGCACAGCTAAGTTTTATTTTCATTTAGTTTCATTTTGTTTATACATAATTCTAGGTTATGATTTATACTTGCAAACTTTTAAAAATATTCAATTCTGTCCACTGTAATTTCTTGTAAAATAAGGTAACAATAAGAATAAGGTTTTCTGAGGAAGAAGAGAAATATTAAGACTTTGTATAAATTAAATACTTTTTCATGCATTCTCTTTATAGTATTAGGTTAAATCATATGAAATTGTCACTGTTAGACTATTTTGACCAGCAAAATTCTATGAATCAAGCAATGTTAGTATCTTTGAAACTCTTCAATAATCAATTATAGCAAATTAATGTCTTAATCATCACTTGAAAACATTTTCATTTTTTTGTGCTGAAAGATGACTTCCTAGAATTGGCTCCTTTAAAGATCACTTAAAACTTCCTACAGCATTTGTTTCAGAGTAACAAAAAATAAAATCATGACTGGTTTATTAGTTCACATTTTCTTCATATCTCTGCTAGTGTGCATGTACTTTTGATTATTTTTGCTTCTTCTTGATGGCTTTTCCCTCCAAAGACAATCATTTTGTATAGTATTTGTATAGTTCTGTTCCTGATCTTTGACAGTCATTTATATAATTTGTTCCTCTGAGTGTGCATGATTTTAGCAGTATCCCATCATGTTAATGTACGTACAGGTAATATGTGTAGTAATTACCCTCGTATTGGATATTTGTTGTATTTATTTTTTTATTTCTATTAGAAATAGTGATACTATCCGTAGTGATATTTCTTTATAGATAGCTCCACCCCCTCCCCTTTTATTGCTTACTGTAAATTTCCCAAAATAGAATTACATGGTCTGTGAATAGACAAAACCACACATTTTATATATATATATTTTTTTTTTCTGTAATTTTTTTCCATCTTTTTGTTTATTTGCTTTTGTTGTTTTCAGTAATGGATAATTATTGTTAATGCTACTTCTCTTTGCTACTTTGGCCTAGTTTTTAAGCCATATAATTCAACAGTAATCATTTTTCTGTTATGTATATGTCTCTGCTCAGATGGTTAAAAAGCAGTATTTTTTAGTTTTGTTATCAGGATTGATGTAGCTATATGGTATGTGTAGCAGTGGGTTGAAATGAGAGCAGATTATGTTTTTAATGTATTTATGAATTTCTTCTGCAACTGTAATATAATGTAAAATGCTTATTTGTAAACCTGTCCTTTCTCTTTTATTTAGGCTCCACCAAAGCCTATACCCAAGACCATTGACAACCAACGAGTCTATGATGAAACTGTAGTAGACCCTAATGATGAAGAGGTAATGTTAGAAGCCTTAAATGAATTTGAATGATCATCCTTGATAAATAGTATGTTGATATGTTAATATTTTGCTGGCTTGCTAAGTTATATAATATACTGATCCAGCTATAATGATGGCATGTTGTCTTTTTTGTTACAACTTATTTTATAATTGATTTTTCCCAGTACTGCTATAGAAAATTTCAATAAATATTTATTTTTTTACAAATGCTTTGAATTTTATGAGTAAGATTTTAAATTTGTCATTTAATCTCTAAGTAGCATATTGAATATTTTAAGGGTCTCTATACTGTAGATATTTGTAGGGTTTGTTGGACATTTTGGTATCTAAGAATAACATTTGATGGTACTTTTTTTGCATACTCATAAAACTCTTGCAGACTATCTAAAGAAATAACATGCAGAGTGGAAGATTATCTTAAATCTTGTTAGAGATATTCCTGAACATATTTTTTTTTTTAGTGTAAATTGCTTCTTTTTGAAAATTGTTTTGTTCACTGATTTATTAGAATGCAGTTGAATTTTGGATAGTGGTCCTCTAAGCAAATAGCTTACCTACGCTCATTTCTAATCATTTGTCTAAGTATCGTTTTCATTTTTATGTATAATCACTTCTTCAAATGACAGTTTTGTTTAAATCCATTAATGCTTTATTTTTTTTCCCACTTTGTGTTCACTAGAATTTTTAGCATAGTGTCAGATAAATAGCAAAGCAATAATGGTATTTTTGCCATGCTTCTGATTTGAAAGAGAATACTGCTGGTGTATCATCATTAATGTTTATGTCATCAATGGAGGTTAAAGAAATTCCATTTATACTTGTTTTATCCCAAATGAATATAGATTGTTATTGGATTCTTTTTCTGTAAATATTGTGATGATCATACGGTTTTTCTCCTAGCAAATGACGTCTTATTGATTTTCTAATATTAAATAATTGCATTTTGGGGATAAACCCATTTTGGTTATCGTATTTTATCTTTTTCTAAAATCTTGCTTGGTGTTGTTAGTACTTTGATTGAATTAATATGTGTCAGTGTTCTTAAGCAAGATTGTAGAAATGACCTTTTTCATTCCTAATTTTATTTATTTGGGCATTTTAGATAATTATTTACAAGAGATATAACCAAAGAACTTTTTTCTTTGATCTTCTCTACTAAATTCTAATTCACTTTTATCTTTTTATTTCCTTCTCTCATCTTTGCATTTATTCTGTTTTGTTTTATTGGTTTAAACATTTTTTATAATTTCTGATGTGAGCAGTTAAGGCCACAAATCTCCAAATACTACTCTTTTATTTATTATTAAGTTGTGGTATTTCCCACAACTTTTAAAATGTGCTACTTTCATTATTAAGTCTGACTATCTCCTATAATGACAGCTTTGTTGATTTCTTGTAATTTTGTTAGTTTTTTCTTTAGTTTTAAATTTTTAATTGTCATTTTATAGGGTATACTATGATAATTTGTTACATATATACAATGCATAATGATTAAATCGTTTCCATCTCAAATATTATGACTTCTCTGTTTAGGACTTTTAAAGTGAAACTTGGGGTTGGAAGTGTACCTCAGTGGTAGAGTGCTGCTTGTTTAGTATGTGCAGTCCCTGTGTTCAATCCCCAACACAAAAAAATAGAAAAGAATTACAACATGCATCTTTAATAAAGATGATACAATTCTGGTAAAATTTAACAAGTACCGTACTAGTACAGTTGTAATTACTTCTTTAAAAAATTTCGTGCTTTTCAAGGAAATCAAGAGTATGCACATATATATAGTCTTTAATGGACTGCATTTTTACTATTCACATTACTCTTCTTTTCACTCTCTGTATCTGAGTTACCATCTAATGTCATTTTCTTTTTAGCTTGTAGAATTTCTGTTAGGTTTTTTTGTTGTTTGTTTGTTTTTTAAGAGAGAGAGAATTTTTTAATGTTTATTTTTTTAGTTTTTGGTGGATACCACATCTTTATTTTATTTTTATGTGGTGCTGAGGATCGAACCCAGTGCCCTGTGCATGCCAGGCAAGCATGCTACCGCCTGAGCCACATCCCCAGCCCCTGTTAGTCTGTTTTTATAGCAGATTTAATAAAGCCAATTTTTTCAACTTTTACCTAGAAATTTTCATATTGCTTTCATTTTTAAGATAATTTTGAAGAATATAAAATTCTTGCTTTTTTCTTTTAATACTTTGAACATATCCCGCCACATATCCATCTATTGACTTTAGCCTTCCTTATTTCCACTAATCATCACTTCCCTGTGCTTTCTTTTATTTCACTCAAAATTTCCTGGTGTTGGCTTTTAGCAGTTTGATTTTCATGTGTTTAGGTATCATTCTTTTTTTTTTTCTATTGGAATTTTTTGAGCTTCTTGGATCTGTAAGTTAGTATTTTTCATTAAATTTGTGGTGTTATCAGCCATTATTCAATTTTTTTTTCCTGTCCTTCCTCTTTGGTCTAAGGAGAACTTCCTTAACATACTACTGAAATATTTGACATTATCCTACAAGTTCTCCCAGCTTTGCTCTACTTTCTGTGATTGTTTTCTCTGTTCTTCAGACTATATATTTGTCAATTTTTACGTTCATTGATTCTTCTCCATTGTCAGATCTGCTATTCAGACTGTGTTTTGCTTTTAATTCTATAGTATATTAAATAGGACTGCTTTGAAGTCTGCTGAATTCAATATCCGAACCCACTTACTAAGTATTGACTACTTTCCTGATTATGGGTCATACTTTCTTGTTTCTTATATACTCAATAATTCTTTTGGTTGAAAACTGGACATTTTAGACCAAAAATTGTAGCATGTCTGAAAGAAATGGTTATTGTTTTATTAATTTTCCTGGCCTTACAACATGGAATTTGTCTCCTCAATAGTAGCACAATATCTCTGCTCAGTTTTTAAAAATTATTTTTAAACTTTCTCCTGAGGAATTGCTCCTGTGTTTATGTGGCTTAATGGTCTGTGAGTGATTAGGCACCTGGGTGTTGAGACACCTCAGGACCTTAAGACATACATACTTTTTGCTGCATGTGGGTTGAGGAATGCCTTCAAGGTTGCAATCAGTTCTCAAGTCTCCCTTGTCTTTCACGTTAGGTGGATTCTCAAATCTCCCCCAATACATATGTGAGGTTAGCTGTCAGCCAAGAATTATGGAGCAGTAATCTTGACCACTCTATGAGTCTTTCATTTCCATAGCACCCCTTTAAATTTCTGGCCAGTTCATACCCACCTTGAACTGGGTCTACTACCCTGGATTGGCAAAGCTGTGCAGGTTTTCACCTTCATCTCACAAAGCTCTATTCCTGTCTTGGTCTAGTCCACCACCTTTGAATCCAAGACTGCTAGTTCTTACCTGCCATCACCTTGAAGTTGTTACTATTTTCACCAACCAAACTAATGAGAGAAATGGAATAGCTCTAGGCAAGATTCCTGATATTCTTGCACATTTCTCTAGCTATTTTTCAAGAACAAATGTACCTCTCAGTGTTTTAGTCAGCTCTTCTGCTGCTGTGACCAAGACTCGACAAGAACAATTTCAGAGTTCTCTTATTAAACATTTAAGTTTGTGCTTGCTACTCAGTTTGAATTAATCAGTTCTAACCTGTATCTGGATATTGATATTGTTCATAAAATAATAAATAGTTTATAGAAGGAAAAAAAAAAGAACAACTTCAAAAGAGGAAAAGTTTATTTGACATTCAGTTTCAGGGGTCTCAGTCCCTAAATGGTCAACTCCATTGTTCTGGGCGCAAGTTGAGGCAGAACATCATGGTAAAAGAGTGTGGTAGAGGAAAGCTTCTCAGGACATGACCATGAGGAAGCAGAGAGACTGAGGCTCTGCTTACCAGATATAATACATGGCTCAAAAGCACACCCCCAGTGACCTACTTCCTGAAGCCACACCTTATCTGTCTACATTTCTCACCCAGTTAATGCATTCAAGTGGTTTGATGCACTGGTAAAATTAATGCTGTCATAGCCCGATCCATTCACCCCTAAACTTTCTTGCATTGTCTCATGAGCTTTGGGGTAACACCTCTTATCTAAACCATAACATTCTGTGTCTTGAAATAATTTTTGATAATTTTATCCAGTTTTATACTTGTTTTCTACAGACACAAAATCATCCACCCTCTTCATGTCGCCATTAGCATCAGTTCCTCCTATGTCTTCTTTAAATTGTGTCAAATAGGTGATTAATGACAGTGCTTTACCAGTAGAGCATACTTGTCTTATGTAAAATTATCTTCCTTGTTTGCAGGTTGCTTATGATGAAGCTACAGATGAATTTGCTTCTTACTTCAACAGACAGACTTCTCCCAAGATACTCATCACAACATCAGATAGACCTCATGGGGTAAACACATCCATTAGTATAATTCTTGAATTCTTTTTTTTTTTTTTTTTTTTTAAGAGAGAGTGAGAGAGGAGAGAGAAAGAGAGAGAGAATTTTTAATATTTATTTCTTAGTTCTTGGCGGACACAATATCTTTGTTGGTATGCGGTGCTGAGGATCGAACCCAGGCCGCACGCATGCCAGGCAAGCGCGCTACCGCTTGAGCCACATCCCCAGCCCAATTCTTGAATTCTTAATCTACTTTTTTTACTACTATTTAAAGTACTCTATTCAGAAGAATTAATTAATTGTCTTAGATAATGCCTGTGAATAAGTTATTTAAAAATAACTGGTGATAGGATATGAGTTCACTAAGCATGATTCTTCATACGTTTTCTCAACCTTAATACTATTAACATTTTGGGCTGGGTACTTCTTTGTTAGAGTGAACTATCCTGTTCATCATAGGATGTTTAGCAGTATCCCTAGTCTTTGTCCATTCCATGCCAGTAGCCAACCATAAAAATGTCTAGACATTGCCAAATGTCTTTTGGTGGAGCAGAATCACTCCTTGTTGAGAACTGATGCTTTAGGATGATTAGCCTTTGATAAAAAATGAAACATTGTTCTGATTTCATTCTTTTCCCAGTCTTGTTATCTATTAATAATACTATAATAATCATTTTTCCTTTTCTTGTGAGTATATAACACATAACATTCTTTTGCCCTTTTGAGAATATTTGCTGTTTTGTTTATAGAGAACAGTACGACTTTGTGAACAGCTCTCTACAGTTATACCAGACTCACATGTTTATTATAGAAGAGGACTGGCTCTGAAAAAAATTATTCCACAGTGCATCTCAAGGGATTTCACAGATCTGATTGTGATTAATGAAGATCGTAAAACACCAAGTATCCTTTTTAAAAATAAAAGGAAGTTTTCCTGTCCTCTCATTTTGTTTTAAAAATATATTTAATAGGAAATTTCCCTGTAACTTCCAGAACATAATTTTTCCCCCAAAATTAATATCTTTATCCAAGATTCTACAAACAGATTTTTTTTTTCCTTTTTATTCAGCAAACATTTATCAGGAACATAAATACCCAAGACATTGTTTTAATCCTTAGAAAAAAGATGCAGTGATAAAGAGACATCAGCCTTCAGGGAATTCAGTCATGGAACAATATTCTTTTTATATCAGTGAATATTATTTTATATAAATGTTTTAAAAGACTGTTTTTTAAAACATAAGTAATTTTTATTGGTTTTATTATTTTAAATATAACTGAAATATATTTCTTTATTCACTTATACTAGTAGTTTTCCAGAAGCAAAAATAGTATTGTAATATGGTGCTTTGTTGGCCATATTATAATTTGGCTTAACCAGACTAATGTACCACATTAAAACCTTTTGAACACTTAACTATTCCAGAAAAGATCCATTTCTAAGGCACACGCTGCTTATTTTAATTGCCCCCCAAAATAAAGTGCCAAGGTCTGTTTTCCTCTTTATTTTTGTCAGTTAAACCGCAGTCATTTCAAGATTACCGTAACTCTTAACAAAGAAGCAGACATATAATTCAGTAAATTTTCTATTCTTTTACTGAGGTATTTCATGAAGACACAGATTGCACAGATTGTCACCATCTGTGACTTTCAGAAAAATTACATTGCCTTTTCTTTATAAAATTGTATTCTTTTTTACCTAAAATATATTATTTTCTGATTACCATATTGGATACTTTGTAGGGTAAGCTGTCAGCCTCTTTTCCTCATTACTGAATGAAATAGCCATGACTCCTTGTTTTGTTTGCATGAGTTGTGTCAGGTATTAACAATAACATAAAGCTTTTTGTATAGTATAGGTACCAGGAAAGTTTTTTAGGAACTGATGAGTTTAAATTTTTGTACTTTGCTTTTGACATAAACCACAACTTAGTGGGAATGTTCTAGGAAGGATTTGAAGCCTTGATTGGGGTTAGAAGAAATGACCTTTACATTTCCTAGCCCCCTTAATAGTTGATGATTTTCTCAATGTGCAAATGATACAGAAACACTTCCTATACTTCATGAAGTTGCACCTGTGGTGAATATTTTAAAAAGAAAGAAATGTTTGCTGTAATGTGTGATGTGGTAGTCACTAACGTCCAAAAGAAAAAGACCTATTTTCCAGAGTTAACAGATAGTTGGGAGAAAGTGACAAGTGCTATGGTAAATAACAATGATAGCAAGGATTCAGAGCAGAGTTCTGACTATAAAAAGGTGGGACTTGCAGTGGATCTTAGGGCGAGTAAAGTGCTGGAAATATTCAAAATAACAGCCCAAAAAAAAGCACTGATAAGATTAACATGAAATATAAGAATATAAGATTGTGTGGGTGCCTACCAGTCAGAAAATATTTGGGGAGAGAAAAAGGGGAAATAAGAAAGGCAGTTTGTAGCCACATTACAAGTGCCATATTGATGTCTTTGAGTCAGTAACAACAGAATGTGAAATTAGGTACAGCTATCAAGACTGTGAAGGTATCTAGTTTTCACTTTGCACAGGAGAAACTATGGTGCAAGTGAAACGACACTGCAGAGTCACATAGCTTATTACTTAAGAGAACCAAAGCCTAAATCCAGACTTGATTTATAGTCTGTATTAGAATGTACTTGACATGGAAAGAATAGAACTAACCACAATACTGTTTTCAATGATGTACATGGAAAATCTCAAGAATCTCAACTGTGACAATAACAAGGTAAAGAGGCAGGTGTAGAAATGAGAACTTGTGAAAGTGAAGGATTAAGATTTGGGATGTGGGGCTAGGGATGTGGCTCAGGCGGTAGCACGCTTGCCTGGCATGTGTGCGGCCCGGGTTTGATCCTCAGCACCACATACAAACAAAAGATGTGTCCGCTGAGAACTAAAAAAAAAATATTAAAAAATTCTCTCTCTCTCTTCCCCTCTCACTCTCTCTTAAAAATAAAAAGATTTGGGATGGGGGAATAGAATTTTATAAATTTCATGTTGTATACAGATAAGGATTGAAATAGTCTTGATTTTGACCTACATTTAAGGTTCAATTTTTTAAAAATACTTTTAATTATAGATGGACACAATACCTTTATTTATTTTTCTGTGTGACTGAGGATTGAACCCAGCACCTCACACATGCAAGGCGAGCGCTCTACTGCCAAGCCACAATCCCATCCCCTTAGGATTCAATTTCTGAGTCAGATGAAATCATGTTTGAAATTTTTCTTAAACTCAAAAAGCACACTATAAATTGTAAGCCCAGGCCATAGCTGTTAGTTCTTCCTGCTTAAAGTACAAATGGACAGTAGCCAAAATAAATTCATGGAAAAGTAAAGGAGAGGTTCAAGTCAAGTTGTGCTAGAGACCTGAGGACTGTTGGATGGATAATAATCTTAAGTTTTTTGTAGTTGGGACTTTTAATCCTTGGGCTGCTACCTTGCTGATTATATGTAGATATAATATATTTCATTTGTAGTTTAAGAGTGTCTGGCATAATTCTGTTTATGGTAGACAGTAAGGTTTTTTTAAGAAAAGATCTACTCTAGATTGTTTTCTTGAAAAGATTTAGGTTGACTGATATGTTTTGAGTTTTAAAAGTTTGTTCTAATTAGTGATCATTTCAGATTTTAAGGCTGTTTGGACATGTAGGAGACTACTTGTTTTAGTTAGCATTTTGGCTGCTGTGACTAAAAGACTTGACCAGAACAAGTGTAAAGGAGGAAAAGTTTATTTAGTGTCTCATGGTTTCAGAGGTCTCACCACATACTGGATGGATGGTGAAGCATATCCCACACTGTGTTAAGAGTTTTGCTTTTTTTTTTTTTGCAGGTTTTGGGGGGATTGAACCCAGGGGCACTACACCACTGAGCCACATACCATCCCTTTTAAAAAACTTTTAAGACAGGTCTACTAAATTGCCCAGTTCACAGCCAGCAGGCTCCATTTCTTGGGATATAAGGTGAGGCTGAACATGGAGGAAGGAAGGGTGTGATGTAGGGAAGCATTCACCCAATACAAAATACGTACCCCAAAGGCACACCCCCCCAGAGGCCCACCTCCTTCAGTTACACCCTACCCATCTTCAATTACCACTCAGTTAATCCCACCAGGGGATTAATTCACTGATTGTGTTAAGACTCATAACCCAGTCATTTCTTCTCAAAACCTTACATTGTCTCACACATGAGCTTTTGGGGGACAACTCACATGTAAGCCATGACACTAGTTATTTTAAACAATTTAAAATAATGTGTTTCTTAACATCTATGAACAGATGGGCTTATATTGAGTCACTTGCCAAATGGCCCAACTGCTCACTTTAAAATGAGCAGTGTTCGTCTTCGTAAAGAAATTAAGGTAAGTTTTATGCAACCCTTGATGGGTATTGATTTTATATTATTTGAATAATAGATTATTTTATCTTACAGATCAAATTCATTTTAATGACATTTGTTCTGATTACAGCAATATTTCACCTAACAGTTTCTTGCCCATATCCCGTGCAAGTGAGGGAATGGGTTTCCCTTCAGTGGGATGGGCTGGCTGAGAAATTAAAGCTAAGAAAAGTAGAACCATGAAGTGACTACAGAACACAGAAAGTAGTTTCAAAGAGGGGGCAGAGATGGGCAAAGCTGACCAGACGGATCCAGCTGCTAGCCAAGAGAGCCTCTGTTTGTTTTATTTGTATTGGAAAACATCAAAGGCTTTCAATAGAAAATTCTTTACCAAAACAGGATAGAGGTGGGGGCAGGTAGGCTGCTCAATTCTAGTGGGTTACGCCCATCTCCAGTGCTTCATGGGACCTTTCTAGCAGAACTAAGGGGGGATTCACTTGCGTCGGGCAATCTACCCTGGTGGTACTGCCATGAAAAGTTCCCAGTGCCAGATCTACCCCCTCACTGGATGTGATGCTGAAAAATGAAAAGGGTCCTTGTGCCTTTCACAGATGGCTTCCTTCAACAGTTGTCTTCTGTTATTATGATGATTTATGGCAGACAGGAAATAGCCCTTATTAGTAAGAAATTGCTGAATTTCTGACTTTTTTGGTGTACTCTACATCTTACTTCATTGGCTTAATAAACTATCCATGGTAGTCTGCCATTTAAAAAACAAAACAATAACTCTCAGTTGACCTCCAAGTTCCAAGACATGAAATTGCACTGAGAAGTATTGTTTTGACAACTTAGCTTAATTTGTTATTGTGATTTTTCACAATTTTTCTAGAGGAGAGGCAAAGACCCCACAGAACACGTACCTGAAATAATTCTGAATAATTTTACAACACGACTGGGTCATTCAATTGGACGTATGTTTGCTTCACTCTTTCCCCATGATCCTCAATTTATTGGAAGGCAGGTTGCCACATTCCACAATCAGCGTGATTATATCTTCTTCAGGTTTCACAGGTGAGACACGTATTCTGGACTTACATTTTCAACATGAACCTATTTTGTTTATTTTGGGAGTGTGGTACTAGGGATCAAACCTGAGGCCTTACACATTCCAGGCAAGTGCTCTACCACTGGGCCATACCCCAAACCCTTTAACATGAATCTGTTTTCTAATATATTATGGCAAATCTTTTAAGTTGTGTCATAGTAAATTAGTCTGAATGAGCCCAACTAGAATTATTCCTTTAGCATTAACTTTTTTGTCTTTGAAGATATATATTCAAGAGTGAAAAGAAAGTGGGAATTCAGGAACTTGGACCACGTTTTACCTTAAAATTAAGGTCACTTCAGAAAGGAACCTTTGATTCTAAATATGGAGAATACGAATGGGTACATAAGGTAAGTGCTTACTATCTGAAAAATCCATTTAAATCATTTTAAATGTGATGAAAAGAAAACCTTGTGCTTTCAACTTTGGGTATTTATACCTTAAACTGTGGTTCTGAATTTTGTCCCCTATGAGCCCATAAAGAAAGAACCAATCTGATATGGTATCTGGGTCTGAGGCTTAACTGTGACTTATTTGAAGTAGTGTAAGAGAGAATGATTCTCAAAGTAAAACTGGCAGTGTCACTTTAGCAATGAAAATTCTTGGAACCCTGATATACTGGATCAGTTATGGCTGGGGGTGAAGGATAGCATTGTTTTAGGCCAGTGTTATGTGATTCTACTGCATGTTACTATCTTTACCTAAATGGTTTTCATAATATATTTTTCCCCTCTAATTTTCAGCCCCGAGAAATGGATACAAGTCGAAGAAAATTCCATTTATAAAGTCCTAAGGAAATAGTATTGGATTTTGCTGAACTTGGTAATTTATTTGTGAAAAGAACACCTTTTTCAAAATAGCATTTATTGATTTTATAAATCTTCATGTCTGAACAGTTGACCAAGTGCCATGAATTGCTACTCTACATAGCAAATCAAAATAAAAGTAATTTGGGTGAGGATTTAGAAGTTATAATTCAGGTTTCCTAACAATTAATTTGCTTGCTTACGTTGGGGTAATTGTGAATGATTCAAACTGAAATAAAGACTCAGATTAACTTTCTTATCTACATTCCCAAATAACATGTGGGCTGGAGATAAACAGAATGGTTGATGGATACCATGTAACTCCTGATTTATTACCGGATTAATTTTGGATCCCCATGTCTGGTGCACATAGTTTTAACTTTAATTTAGAAGCCAGATTTCTAGGATATTTCAAAATGATTTATCAGAACTTGAACCAAATTTGCAAATTACTGAAGTTAATCTTTGATTCCCTTTATTTACTCCTTTTTAACCTCATTACATGTTACTATGGTATTACATAGTAGGTACTGTCTCAAATCCTGAAGTTTTTTCTTACTACTACTAATGGAACTTTCTTTGCCAATCTCTTCTCTCTACTACTATTCTGATTAAACTAAAACCATTGAAGTAACTGGCTACTTAAGTATAACTGGTAATATCCCTAGAAAGGAGGATATTGTAAATATTATTAAAATAAAATTATGTAAATAACTCAAGGACAGAAATAGCACTTTACCCCAACTTTAAAAGAATAAAGATTTGCAATTTATACTTGGTAAGACACAAAATAATATGAGAAGAATTGGTGAAACAATGAAAAGTTAGAACTAAAAACTTAACCCCTTCAAGTGTCAAAACAGCTTAAAACAATGTTTTTCATATAATAATAAAGCAAAAAATGTTTATACTAAGTATTTTATTGTATGTTGCTGCCAGTGTATATAAAATAATTACACTTGTGAAATAGAAACTCATGAAAATTCAGAGAGGTAGATGTTAAGGACTGACAAAAGTAGAAGATTATATTATGGCACATGTTATAGGGAAGCTTTTTGTACAGGCTTCAAATTTAGCTCTCTTGAATATTCACTGGTTCTTGAGCAGTGGTTTGGGAAACCTGAAAGGAAGTGGGGAAAGGTAAATTAGAGTAAAGTATCATGGATAGTTTTTCACATTTTTTCCAAGAATACATAACAGTTACCATTGTTTATTTAATATATATGCGTGTATATATTTTTAAATTGCTCATGTCCTTTGCCAATTTTTTCCTTTAACAATACTTCTTATATAGATGGTCCCCAACTTAACAATTTTTTTGACTTTACGATGATGTAAAAACAATAAGTATTCAAGACATACTTTTAGGTTTTGAATTTTGAGCTTTTCTGGGATTGGGATATTCAGTATGATCCTCTGTCAGTGCTAGACAGCAGTGAGCATAGCTCCCAGTCTGCTACATGATCACAAGGATAAATAACTGATAATCCACAGTGAAACTATGTCATTAAGATATCCTGTTTTGTTAGTTATACTAAATACATGTTTGACTTAGGATGGGTTTGTTGTGATATAACACTATCACATGTTTAGGAGTATCTGTATTACCTTTAAAGGTTTCATTCAAATGTCAGTTTATAAAGAGCTTTCACCTGAATGAAACCTGTTGGAAAACTTATCTACTTTTTTTTTTTTTTTTAAAGCAGATACATTGCAGGATTTTTAAGAAAGAATATAAAAACAGGATGGGAAAAGACTGATGTTGTGGGCAGTAAACTTCCAACTTTCTCTTAATTTTCATAACTATTCTCAGTATTAGTACTGACTGTTTATAAATAGACTTACAGATTAACTTGCTAAGATTACTGCTGAAATACACTCTATCATTATAAAGTATATATAAGTTCTCAAATCAAGAAAACTCTGAACACTCCTAGAAACTCAATAAAGAGTATTTGAAAGAGCAGTAAGTATATGAAAAACATGCTCCTGGTGAAATACTATACTGGTGAAGTACTATACTATAGCAGGGGTTATCATCAAGTATAATTAAAACTTCAAATTTTTATTTCTTGTTTCCTAATTTTCCTTCCAAAAATTTATCTTAATAATTGGAGGCAAAGTAGACATATAGACACCAAGATGCCTGCTTCACTATAGCTTCAAATTCAGAAACTTCAACATTAAATGAAGTACATTTAAGTTATGGTACATACAACCACTGAAAATCTTTTTAATTATGAAGAATAATGGAATAGGGAAATTCATTAAGTATTTTTAAAAGGTAGAGAAATAGGTGCTGCTGCTGTGGCTCAGTGGCAGAGCACTTGCCTAGCATGCATGAGATACTGGATAGAATAGAATATAAAACTGCAATATTATGATTTTTAAAAAATAAACTTTTGCTCTTGAAATATGCCTGTAACAATGGTTATTTCAGGAGAAATTCTCATGAATAATGAAATTAACATTGCCATAAGCAAGGAAATAAGACTATTAAATATGAAGGTGCTAAACTGTTAAAAGATTACTTTATGAAAAAACTCTTTGATTTTTTTCTTATATAGTGATTTCTTTCTTATATGCCTGTGTTAACTTACCATATTTTTTTGAAAAATGATGGCCATATAGTTTTTAAAAGCTACATTTTTAAGTGTAAACACTACTATGTAGTTTTATATCCATGTCATTTAGCATAGACTAGCACCATCAGTATATAAAATGACAGCTTATAAGAAATGCAAGTTCTAGAACCTCACCTCAAGAATTCCTGAATTATATATAATATACATCTGAATAAGGTGATCTGTACATATATTCAAGTTTTTGAGAAACAATCTTTTTATTCCCAAATTTCTTCCTTATCCAAAATAGCTTTGATTTATAATAATCCACAATGTTCTTTTCTTAGTCTGCTGGGGTTAACAGACATTATTTTACTTTGAAATCTGGGTTCTTATTCTAATCACCTTAATCAACTTGAGCAAGTCATTTTAACACTTATCTATATATTTTTTATATATTTTATATAAAAAATCTATATTTTTAATATATTTATAAAATTATTAACAGCCTGCCCAGTTTTCTTAATAGTACTTTATGTTAAATGAAAATAAACCACTTTGTAAAGTGGTTACAACAGAACCCATAAGTTTTAAAAAGGACCAATAAAAAAAAATATGAAACATCCTGAAATTCTGATGAATAATGAAATTAACATTGCCATAAGTAAGGAAATAGACTATTAAATATGAAGGTGCTACACTGTTAAAAGATTACTTTATGAGAAAACTCTGTTACTTATAAAGGGTTTTTTGGTTGTGCCCACCACCACCACTACCCCCAGGTTTCAAAAAACTTAGCCATTCTAACCAATGACTATATTTACTGGAAACATGCTGTACTTACACACAGACTTTCTGGATACTCCAAGGTCTACAAAGCTTAATTAGGGAGGTTTAAAATACCTATTAGTACTTAAAATACCTATTATTTTAATAGGTTTAAAATACCTATTAAACAAGGTATTTTAGGAAGCAGGTTCCTGATCTTTTCAAATGAGAAAGTAAAGGATGTGTACTATATACAAAATCTTTTTTTAAAAGCACTATTAAAGTTTGATGGTCAAAGTATTGAACTATGGGTACATGCCCTAATTTAAATACTAAGGATTTAAGAAGATAGTATCCTTAGCCAGGCATGGTTGCACACACAACTTGAAAGCCTGAAGTGGGAGGCCAGAGCACTGATCACAAATTCAAGACCAGCCAGGACAATCTTAGCATGACCATCTCAAAATAAAAAGGGCTGGGAATGCAGCTATGTAGTTCAGTGGTAGTGCTTGCCAGCATATGTGAGGCCCCAGGTTCAATCTTCACCATGGCAAAAGATAGCATACTTGGATTCATATTCTAAATTACCAGAGAACATTTTTGGGGGCGGGGGGTAGGTGGGGATTGCAGGGGGAGTCACATCTCTTTTGGACAAACATACATTATTACACAATGACATCTGACCTGGAAGAGACCAACTAACACATAGAAACATTCTTTTTATAACAATTCAGGAATTGGTTTCTTGCTGTTTCTTAATCCTTAGAAATCTAATCCACTGTCTACCACCACAAAAAATACCTCATTTCTGTTAGGTTTTTTTCACAACAAATAAGAAAAAGTATAACCTGCTATTCCTCACTCCCAAGAACCAACTCCACATCTGCTTATGCAAGTACCCCACTGACTTTCTCCTAATTCCCAATTGTTTGCTCCACTACCCTATAGTTGGGTTCTATTACAGCAACATGAGGATTCATCCAAATCAGTTGGTAGTACTTTATAAGTCACTCCCCATGGACACTGCAGATTTTAAAAAACTATCTAAATATTTGCTTGGTTCAGGAAAATAAAATTAATCTACTATTTAAGGACCCCAAAATATGCATGTCATTAAACCAGTGCTATAAAAAGTAACATATGGCTATCACAGCAAATGGAGTTTTATAGTAACTCTCCTAAACCTCTTATGGTTATTAAGTCCTGTATTTAACCTTCTTTGTGATGAAACAGAAATGACAGTTCATGACTACTAAATAAAGTTTCATAGATCCTCAGTTTTTCACAAAATAGACAACGACTGGAAAATTGGGACTGCCAAACAAAATGCATGGAATGATCCTGTAAGTGCTGCAAATAAAAAAGGAATTTGTTTTGTTTTACTTAAGGAAACTTACCTCAGAGTAAGATTCATTTGACTACAAAAAGGAACAGACTTTCTGAGGTCTGAAGGGATTTGTACTTGAAGATACTCCAGTCAGCAGGGGATCATGTTGAGCATTCTGCAGACAGAATTGTTTCAAGTCTGCAGCTGCCTGGGAAACCTATACACAACAAAAGAAGGGGTGGGGAGATACCAGTTGGTAAAGTTTTAATGATTTTTCTCAAATCTTTGAAAATACTTGTACTGAACAGCACTTCTCTTGCCTTAGAAAAAGAAAGAATATACAAAATGAAAAGTAACAATCATATACTGTCTCTTAAACATTCCTTGTAAACAAAACTATAGTATGTTCTTTTGCCTGCTTATTAAAAGTTCAAATGATTTATTAGAAACTACTATTAAAGTTTATCTACAAAGCATAGCACTTCTTGTTTATTAGTAATAGGCTGTTCAAGTACTTAACATCTTTTTTAAATTAAAAGCAGTACATGGTATTTTTGGAATAAACAACAACAGTCTTAACATTCTAGCAAATTATTACTTTGTCCTGAAAGCAGTGTCAGTGGGGAAAAAAAAATGCTACTGTGAATGAATATAATGTGGAATAACTAGCATGGTACATTGGTCTTCAAATTTATGTTATACTCCTTTGCATTTAAAACTAAGAGAGGCCTGCCTTCATTCACATAGTTATCTACTATTTGTATATTCTGGTAAGATGATGTATTAACAAAATAAGCATAAAACCATAAATGTGCCTTAAATCTTAGTTGAGGAGCACTGCATACACATGAAAGACAATTGAGACAAATACAGTTTCTAAAGGCAGCCTGCTCAGAGAGATTGTTAGAACTGAGATTTGTTATTAGCCTTTAAAGCCGCATGACAAAGGGCAGAAAGCTGTCAATGCATACAATTTTGTAACATTAACAGTTGATGGTACAATAATAGCAAAACAATAAGTTGAATGGTTCGAATATAGAACTTGGATGACTATTATGTCCCAATATCCTCAATCCTGAATTGAGATTTAGGAAGATAGAAAAATAACATTCTGTCTTAGTTATTCCTAAGGACACATAGCAAATGTCCATTGCTATGGCTATGTACCCTTTGAAAGAGTTAATACCATTACCAATGTCCCCTCTACCAAAAACCCCTGTATATTCCAAGCTGTATATCCCTGTATATCCCAGACCTAGTAAAAGAATCCATCATTCTGAGAATCTAAACTCTTCTCCAATCTTATTTGTATTTGGCTTATACAACAGTCCACAATAATGAGTTCCATGTTTATTAACTCCCATGAGTAAGAAGTATCTGCACTTTTAAAATCCTTGTAACAAGTACTTTCACAAATGGCTGTGTCCCTGCCTCACTCCACTTCCCCAAAAAAGTGTTAAAAGTAGGGGAATGAGCATTAATCAACTTCCACAATGTTAGAGGATTTGGTTTCATTCAAATTGACCCAGTAAGAAGACAGTGCAGTGCCTGTTTATTTTCTGTTTCAAATGTAGGTAGGGTCCAACTTAACTCCTTTTCATTAACTACTAAAGCACGGTTATGTGCCAGCTCTACTTTTAGGCACTGAGAATAGTAAAGAACATCAAGATCCCTGCTGTTTCAGTGCTGACAGTTGTGGGAAAAAGACAAGGTTCTCTGCAGTAAAAAGGGATATCTGTTAAAAAACGACTGGGTACCAAATATTACACTGAGATGATGTGACATTTAAGCTGAGATTTCAATAACAGATCAAACTCAAAACAAGGGATCAGTGAAAATCAGCATCCCAAGCAGTGGGGAAACCTCAAACTAAAACTGGACACTGGACAAGCTGTTACCCTTCAAGGCACAATAATCACCCTCCAGAAAATTGAAATACTAAGTTGACATAACTATTAAGAGTCCCTTTTCACTCTGCTGACCTACCTGTGAGAAAGTTTGTTAAATACTTGTAATAATTTTTTCAGCTGTACTCATATAAAGGTTTAAAGTAAGTTTGTGCTAGTTTTAAAATAACAGAAAAATAAATCATCTACCACAGAGGCACTGATAAAATAGGTACACAATATGAAATGGAACCTAGACACATTTTGCAATGCATATGAGAAGACTCATTTAAAATCCCAAAGTGGGATGCCCTCCCCTCCTTGCTAAAGCCCTAACATCAGGCAGAAACTGAAAATTGCAAAACTGAATCATTTGTGGTTGTTTTAATGATTCCTATCAAAAATCTACAGAAGAATTGGGTGTATGAGGCCAGGGTCAAGCTGGGAGTTGGAAAGGCAGCAGCTACTAGGATTTTCAAGGTAAAGGTCTTGGAGTATTTTACTCTGAGAACTCATTTTCTTTGGCGACAATGGCAAAGCAGCACTGATATTTACTGTGTCATTTTTTTTTCTTTTGTCTCTCTGATCCTTCATGTTCTCTTTCCTGGTACACTTCAATCTGTGATAGAGGCACACATGAATGATAATGGTTAAGAAATGGATGACTTCAAACTTCAGATCTCAATCCAGCCAAAACAGTGAGGATAAATCATTGGGATGAAGTGAGAATTTGGGGATTAGAGAAATGAACAACTATGCAGTTTACACATTAGTGAGGGAGATTCCACAATAAGACCATTGGAGTTTCCCTTCCCTCCTGAGGTTACATCGACCAAGTAAGCTAGGTCTATGACATTTCTAAATAGGAGCCCTCACATTCAGGAAGAAATACTGACTTGCCTGATGAGTGTAAAATCAAATCATCTTGGAACCTGGCTGTTTCTAGCAGGGTAGTGATTTATAATTCCTGTGTTTCTTTTTTTCAATCACAAGTGTTTTACATGTAACCTATATATTGCACTAGAAAGAAGCCAATCTGTTTAGGATTTAAAAAATAATAAACACTTGCTACAGCACTTCCATGTCAGGTTGTCAATACCAACACCAACAAAAGATTTTTTTCCCCAAAAATATCCCAAGATAAAGCCAATGCTATCAAGACATCAAAGTAAGACAGACCAATTCTGGCCCACCCTAATCACTTTCTTAGCATGTGGACCAGTAGATATACTTAAGGTGGGATTCAAGCAAATTGCACAGATCTGAAATGCACGCTTTGTGCGAGGTTGTAAGGGACAAAGGTAGTAAGACTCTGGAAAAGTTTCGAAAACAGTAATGCAAGAAAATTCGTTTTCAACTATGTGTTCAGTGGTTTGGAGAATTTGGAGGTTAAGAACCTAGTACTAATTGGAGTAGATCTGGTAAAGATCTGAAATGAAAAAAAAAAAGTTAATAAGTCGGCCATGAATCAAAAGTCAAAATACCCAGTCCAGAGACGAAAATCGGTGGAGGCTGGTAAAGATGGGCGGGAAGGGAAGGGCGCGGACCAGCAGCAGCTGGCAAGGCCAGCCGAGGAGTCACAGCCGAGGGAGGGAGGGAGGGAGGGAGACCGGAATGCGGGCCGCTCTGTAGCCCGGAGGCCAGCCCGCCTTGGAAAGTCCTGGGGCGGAAGGGCGGACTAAGGGGGCCCTCCCAACCACCGCGGGGATCCGCGCGGCAACTTTCCTATAGCTGGCAGGTCCGCGATCGTCGCCCGAATGCGCGTCCTCCAAGGAGAGTCACCGCGAACCCGCCCGCCCCAACTGACTCGCCCGCCGCCGCCTCCCGCTACCCGGTTCGGCCGCGGCCCCCGCTCACCTTCACGCGGTTGAGTCCAGCCTCCAGCCGGAGCTGCTGAACCACCTTCTTCATAGCGGCGACGCTGGAGGAACCAGACATGGCGAATTCGAGGTCAGGGCCGACTCGTCGGTCAGAGGGTCGGCAAGTCGCGGGTCGGCTGGGCCAGACAACTGGGCAGCGCGCAGCGGGGGCGGGGCTCCGAACTTTGTCTCCAAGTTTCCGGTTCTGAGCTGGGTGACACAGCCTTCGGTGCGCATGCGCGCCGCGCTTCGCCTCGAGTTCTAACTACTCGCCCTGCAGGAGCTCGAGCTTGAGGTAGCCCGAGAGGAAGGGGCGGAGCGGTCCCTGGGCGTGGTGTGGAGGCTCCGAGAGAGTCTGGCCGGATGCCGCACTCCTTGTTCCCACTCCGGGTAGGCTGACTTGGGAGAGGTAAGGAAGGAGCTGTGGTTAGCCGCCTAGACCAGAGGGGACATTGAAGAGGACCGGTGAGGGAAGTCAGACGTTTGAAAGTCTCTAAAGCTCTAGTGACTGAGGAACCGGGAGGCCCCAGTTGTCCTGAGGGAGTTTGCGGCAGGAGTTGAGGGAGAGAAGGGGATAGCCCAGCGGAGGCGCAGGAGCCAGACTGCCCCGCGCGAGTCGCTGGCCCACCCGCGTAAGTCGTGTCCCGAAGTGACCCTTTGTCCAACGGCGTCCTCCGCCCGCTTCCCACCCGCGGACCCGGAGACTGAAAGGGACGCGGAGCCCCCTGTGACCCGCCTACGAGACCGGGCGGGCGGGGAAATAGGCGTTGGAGAAAAGAAGATCTCGGGATTTTTTGATTTTTGTCGCCTCTTAAACTCTCAAATCGGTTTTCTAGAAAAGGCTGTGAAGAAGCCAGAGTGCTGGCCGAAGATTACAGCTATCTGCTAAACCATCCCGTTTGAAGAATTCTTACTGTGCTTTTTAAAATAAAACGTTTTTGTGCTTCGGGAAAGTTTGCTCTTTTTGTATTTAAGTTTTAATTACTTAATGCTTGAAATTGAACACCCAAGGAGTTTTTAGGGGAGAGAGAGGATTTAACAAAATAGGCCCAGCCAATGCATCTGTCATCGTGGAAACGTGTATTGTGTCATGACACTTAAGACACTTGTTTTTCTATTTCTGTTAAAGTAAACCATCTTCGAATACACTGATGTTTTCTGTAAACATAAATAGTTTCAACATGAATGCATTTCAATTTTTTTGTATAGTGGGAATATCATGTATAATTTTCTCTGGGTCAACAAAACCAGATTTATTTACTAAATAGAATATCCGTCCTCAAAAATGTATAGCGTAAGTTTAGCATTTTATTTAATTCTTAGATGTAATAACTGGGGCTAGGAACCAGGTTTTGAATTCTGATTTTGCTACTTACTGTGGGGTCCTTGAGCAAGCCGTTTAAGCTTCACTGAGCCTCTGTTTCCTCATTTTGAAATGAAATAAAGTTTTCTGGAGTTGCTTCTAAGAATGAAATGAAATTACATAGGTAAAGAATGGGAAAATAATATTTCTTTATTATTTTTTCCCATTCTTTACCTATGTAATAAATAAATATTATTTTTCCCTACTAGTATTTTAAATAAATTTTAGATAAAACACAAATAGCTTTCCTCAAAGAAAGTTTATTCTTCAATAATACACTATACTTCAAAACTTAGTTAAGAAATGTGCTGGAAAGGTTTTCAAGTAATATGTGGCCCACTCCCTTCTGTGAGAAAGAGGAGGAATAAGCAAAACCTATATTGTGTTTTAGGTTTAGTCTCAGAAAATGTTTTTTTTTTTTTTTTACTTCATTGGAAAAGCAGAGTGGATTGCTGTAGAAGGTAGTCTCTTTGTTTTTTTTTTAATTTATTTTTTAGTTGTAGATGGACACAATACATTTATTTGTTTGTTTATTTTTACAGGCAAGCTAGGCAAGGGCTCTACCACTGAGCCACAACCTTAGCCCATCTATTAGGATTTGATTTGGAATAGGAAAGAAGAAGAAAAAAAAAGTCCACTTCAAGTTCATTTGCATTTGAAGTGATTAGCATTAAATATATTTCATGAACTACAAATCAAAGACTTGTTCTTTGACCTTCCAAAATGATCTAAAATATTTTAAGGGTCTTACCATCCATACAGACATAGGAGTTTACATATTAGATTGTTTGGAACAGACTGTGTTGTGAAGCAATTTGACACTGAGAGATTCCTTACAATATAGCAAGAAATCTTTTGTCAGGAGAGCATTGTAAGTTTAAATTTACCTGGGATCTTCACCTTATTTAATTAGTACTCTAAGTTCTTTAGTTCACTAGCTCCAAGTTCAGTATTTGAATAAATAAAATGATTTTAAGGTTTATGCACCTTACTTTGTAGTTTAACTAAAAGCCAGATAAGGGTAGATTTCACAATTCTGACTCTTTTCTCAAAGAATGAGCTTATATTAGTTTGTTTTCATGGTGGCTAAGGAAATTGAGTTTGGGAAAGAATGAATGACTTGCTTATGGCCATACAGCTGGTTTATGGCAAAGAAAAGAACTTGGGTCTCCTGATGTTTACACTGTATATATAAGTAATGCATTTCTTTTTATGGAGTTGCTCATATATTGGAATAATAATTATTTTTATTAAAGTATAAGGAAATTTAGTTATAAGAAACAGCAAAAAGGCTTAGGATACCTAGTAATAGTGTGGTCATAAGACACCATTGTATTTTTGGCTCAGCTTATATGGATAGTAAAGCCCATTTTCAGTAAATGAAGTACAATTAAATACCCTTTATTTTTAAAATTTATTTTTTATTTTTTTACCTTACTATGTTACCTTCACCTTGTGCTTTTAAGCATCCTGCAAAGGCCTGTGTGCTGGCTTGGTAGCAGTCTGTGGCATTATTCCTAAGGTGGAACACTGGGGAGGTGAACCTAATGGAAGGAAGTTAGATAACTGGGGATATGTCCTTGAAAGGGATATTGGGACTCTTGGGATTCTACCCCTTCCTCTCTGACTTCCCAGCCACCATGAGATAAATACTTACATTATGTGATCCTGCCTTGAGATACTGTGCCAGAGGCCCAAAGTGATAGGGCTAAGTGATCATGGGCTGAAACTATGAGCCAAAATAAAATTTCTTTTTAATTAGTTGATAATCTCAAGTATTTTGTGATAGTATTAGTTGACAGTTAAGTAGTTATAATTCTAATTTTAAAAATGATAGACTTATTTTATCTCTGTTGATCCTTTTGAAAGACTTCCCAAAAGGTACATGGGAGAAGTGAAAGAGCAGTTTTTCATCAATGGACTTATATATTGTAAGGGTCTGGCGAAACGTCGGATTAAGAGACCACAAGAGACTGTCTTATGCAAAAGCAGAAGGGTGGGTTTATTTGGAGACCAGCATGCTGGGGCTCCCTCTATAGCAAAGAGAGATAGAGCCCTGAGAACAGCTTGAGCAGAGCTTATATACTTTCCCTGGAGAGGGCAGGGAGAGAAGTTACATTTTGTAGTTTGGCAGTTGGGGACAGCTCTTTCTGGGAACAAGATTAGCAGACAGTCCATGGTTGGGGACAGCACATTCTGGGAACAAGATTAGCAAACAGTTCTTAAGATTTCAACAGTGTTTTGTTAAGCATATAGAGAAACGGAGTGACAAGTACTTTTTTTTATTAACCTTTCAATATAAGATTCAAAACACTGTATTCCTTCATAAACAGAGGGAAATTTATTCTTTCTACTTCTCATAAATCCATGTTTATACTTCTTTTGTGCGCTAACACTATGTTAACTATGACCTTCAGGAAGAATAAGACAAGACTTTTTTTTCTGTATTCTGCTTTATATTTGAAGTCTTAAACTTTTTGTATTTTTAGAGTATAAACTTGGAGATACTCTGTAACTAGGTATTCAAAAGAGAAGTATAATCAAGTTTTACGCTGGGCAAGAAGATGCTCTATTCTTTTAAAAACCTAAGTTATTTTTTAAGTTGGGTAAACAAATTTGCTGAAAATACCCTGTTGCTATTTTATGATTATGAAAATTAAACTTGCTCAAAGGCCTTGAAGAGCTATGTGGAGAAAACATTCCATAATTCCTTTTCAAACATTCTAATTCTAATATCATTCTGTTAATTTCTATCAAACCCTCTTTCATCTAAAATGCCCTTATAAATCTTGAGGGAAATCCCAAATCAAGAAAAGTGTGTAATTTTGTCTATACTAGGCATCTGTATGGAAAATAGACTAATTCCTCAATTGTTCCTACCAAGTCTAAGGAACCTAAATGTATGTAGGCTCTAGAGGGCCCTCGGGCATTTTAATCTATTTACCTAAAATCTATTTACCTTTTAAATGAATTAGAACTTAAATAAAGTTAAATTACCATTAGAAGTTTACAGGTTAACTATGACCTAGACAATGTAAAACTCTAAGAACATAGATATAATATGAATTTATCCTGAGCAGATAGACCTGACCCTTGATGATTTAAAAATCAAAAATTATGTCAATAAGTACTCCCATCATCTGACCTGAGGTTAACTATATTCTGATTTCTCTTTTTGCGCAGTAGAACTATCCCTCTCACTTTTGGCATTCTTTGAGCAATCAACTAGTCAAAAGAACTTTAGAGTTGCACATATGGTGTCCGACTACATCATGTACAATCAGAGAAATGAAAAGTTGTGCTGCAGTTGTATACAATGAATCAAAATGCATTCTGCTGTCATATATACCTGGTTAAAATAAATAAATAAATTTTAAAAATAATAACAAAAGGGGTAGGGATGTCACTCAGTATTAGAACACCTGGGTTTAATTCCCATTACTAGAAGACAAAATAAAAAAATGGTATCTAGTAGGATTTCAAAGGGCTGTAATCAGTACCAAATCAAAGGAGTTTTAAGTTTTGTTAGATTTACATAACTTTTTTAATATAAGCCAATGAAGCCATACTTTGGAATCTTAAAAAAAGCTTCAGATGTGATTTTGGTATGATTAGTACATTCTTAAGGATGAAACCACTTTGATAATTTCTTTTTAAGATAATTTAGCTACTTTATTTTTCAATTTTTATTATATATTTATGTGTTTTAAATTTTATAATTCATTATTTTAAATTGCAATAAATACTCTGAGGACAAAACAGAAAATAATACACAAATGATGCTCATTATATAAAAGACAAGTATTTTCATCTGGACTGATTGTTACATACAGCCATTTGTATTTAATCTTTTCACTCCAAAAGTATATTTCTATGTTATGTAAAATACATTTAATATACAAGGTTAGACAGTCAATTTTTTAATAATTTGTTCTAGTTATACATGACAATAGAATGCATTTTCACATTCAACCTTAACTTTTGACTCCAGAGAAAATGAATTGTTTAGAATAGTAAAATATGTTTTTGCCAAAAGTTCATTACAATGTAACTTACCAGTTTCCTTAATTATTCTCAACTTAGGATGGGGTTACATCCTGATAAAAGTTGAAAATAGAATACACTTAATACACTTAACCTACTGAATATTGTGACTTAGCAACACAGTACATTTTCAAGTATCAGCTATTTATCTTTATAATCTTGTGACTGACTGGGAACTATAGCTTATCAATCCTGCCTAGCATTGCAAGAGAATATCAAACCATGTATTTCTAGCCGAGGAAAAGATCAAGATTCTAAATTTGAGGTACAGAATTGCTTTTGCATTGTTGTAATTTGGAAGACCATCCATAGAATATATGCTCATTTCATTGCAATTACCAGTCTGTTCATTAGTGATTTTTTTTAATTGGAATAATAAGATTATATATATTCCAAGTTTTCTTTTGGAATCTACTTTAAAGGTTTTATATTTTTCTTTTCACTTTTTGAACAAATCAGAGACCAGAAATACGTGGAATGCTATTTTAAATAAGCCAAAAGTGTATTATAAAATTAATTTAATACTACTTAAATGAAGAGAGAGAAAAAGACAAGAAAAAATCCAGCTGTTCAGACATTGGTGAGTATGTCTCACAATCCAAGTCAGCCTTCCTCATCAGAGGTAAGAAAATAATGTCTATCATTGTTTTTGAAAAGTTGATAAAGCAAAAATGAATTATATAAAGTATTAGAAATTGATTCCACCAGAGTCCCAACTTCATGTATCCCATTAACTGATACTACTATTTCATCTTTAACTCACTTTCTCTAGTATTCTAAGTTGAGACCTACAATAAAGTGATTCTATCACCTTTTTTCCTCCACTATTCTATGATGCCCTCCAGAGGCTTGAATTTCATACACAGTGTTGGTCATTCTTGGCTCACACTTTGACTCCTTGCCCCTCTCTTGTTCTATTCTACTCCTTTGCAAAATAACAACCTAGTTAATTCATTTCTCTACCTATTCTGCACCTATTCCTTAGTAACTAAATATGAATGGATGAAAATATACCAGCATAAGGACTATTCCCACTTTAACTTCATGACCAGTAGAATCTTTTGCTTTTAGGCATTCATACCCTCTGTCACTTATTCATTCACTCATCTCTTCAACACAAGTGTTTCATACCTTCTCAAATCCCCAATACCTTTTCTCCATTCTCTCTTAAACCAATTTCAATCAATCTTTCACCTTTCACAAAACTTTTCTTGCTAAAGTCACCTCTTCATTACTAAATCTAACCTCGTAAAACTAGATTATCTCAGGATTCAGCTCTTTGTTCTATCTGCACTCATTACATGGTGGTCTCATCCAATCTAGTAGATTTAAATACCAACTTTATGGTAAGGATTTATATATTTTTATCGTCATCCCAGTCCTCTTTCCCAAACTTCAGATTCATGTCTACGTATATTCAACTGACTACTTGACATCTCTCTTTGGATGATCAATAGACATTTCAAATAGTACATATGTGAAAGGGAATCTTTCCCTCTCCTGGAAACTTGCACTACCTGTGGCTATTCCATCTCAGGTGATTGCAAATCTATCCTTTCATTGTTTGAGCCCAAATGCCTTGGAAACACACTTGATTCTTCTTGCATACATGACTCCTACTTGAGTCTTTTTCTCCCAAACTCTACATATACACAAAATTTGATTACTCACCTCTACTGCTAGCATATTAGTCTGTGTCACCATCCTCTTACACTTTAGTTACTCCAATAGTTTGATAATAAGTTCCCTTTTTTTTTGCCCCTTACAGTCTATTTTGGCTATTATTGCTTTAACCTGTTATCAAATGTAGAAATACTTCACAGTAATTTGTGTCTCATAGTGTAATGCAATATGAAATATAAGTCACCATTTGTAAAATACTCTTGCCTCGGATGGATAACTTGTGTCATTAGAAGGCTGTACCATTGACTATTTACAAGAGTTAAAGGGGTTGGAGAAATAAATGCCACCTTAAAGACAATGAGGTAAATTCATTCTATAAGATAATTGGCTCTATCACTTTAAAAAACTTAATGTGACAGGGCTGGGGATATGGCTAGGGTTCTTATAGTTGTCTAGCATGTGCAAGGCTCTAGATTCCACCATCAGCACCACAAAAAAAAAAAAAAGAAAAACAATCTCAATATTTTGAAGAATCAATTGAGATTTTTAAAAACATAACAACTAAATGCAATATGTTATCCTCAATTGAATTCTAGGTTGAAAAACCATTTTGTGGACAATAGGAGAAATTTTAGATTTGATATTAGTCTACATTAAGGAATAGTTAATTTTCTTTATGTGAAAATGGTATTGTGACTGTATTAAAGAAGTCCTTACTTTTAGAAGATGGATACCAAAGTATGAATATGTCTAATTTACTTTAAATATTTTATTGAGAGAGAAAAAAGAATTAACAAGAAAAATGTTAACTTTTGAATCTAAATCATATTTAGATTATTTGAAAATTCATAATAGTTTTACTTATGTATATAAAATATATGCATCAAATTTTTCATTAAAAATTACAAAATATGTCAGGTCTTGCCATGCTTCTATTAAAACCCTTCATTGGCTTCCTATCTTGTAAGGTAAAGACCTTTAAATAGCTCAGAGGCCCTACTTAATTTCTTCCCCTTACCTTCTTTTTTCTCTGACTTTTATCTCCTACTATTCTTTTCCCACTCTCTCTTCTTCATTTATACAGGTACTCATAATGGTCACCTTAAAGCCTTTGGTTTAGCCCTTCCTGGAACTCCATATCTTCCCTTGACTAATTCATTCTTTCCCTTAAATCTTTACTCAGTTCCCACCTTTTCCCTGAAATCTACTATAAATATTCTTTATAAAACTGAAGGCTTCTATAACCCTTATCCTCCTAATTTTCCTTACTTTGCTCTTATTCTTTTTTCCTAGTAATTACCCCTCTCTTATACAGTATATAACCTATTAGTGCTTTGTATTTATTGATTATTGTCTATATCACTCGCAGAACCAGGACTAGTCTGAGGCAAATGAAATACTTGCTGTGGGTGCAAAATTTAAGGGGACATCAAAAATTCAGTAAATCAAGATAAATATTTTAATACAATATTTTTTAAGTTAAATTTATTTCACAAAATTCGTGGTGAACAAGATATTGATATTTTAAATAGACACAATCCAACAGTACTATGCATAGCAACTTTGAAGTCTAAAATTTTTAAAAAAATGTACTCTACACATGTATATACCTTCTAATTACTTAAATAGTTAATGATTTTAATAAAAATATTATTGATGAGTTGCTTCTAGAAAGCCAAGAACATAAAATTATAATAAATTATAGTTTTGGTATAAATAAAATATTTAACCTTAAAATATATAAACTTTTAAAACTTGCAGTATTTTTCAACTACTTTGTTGTTATAGAAACATAGCACTCTTATAATATTGCTATAATGTTTATAATATAATGTTATAATTACTATAATATTGCTATAATGTTATTGTTATAGTAAACTCATTGAAGTATTATTTAGAAATATATATATAAATGTTTAGTTCAAGAAATATTTTTCTCCTGTGACATATTAAAACATTTATATAAAAATAAAATTATATTTACTTCAAACTTGTTAAGGTTTTGCAGATACTTAATAGTATAGCTAGGGAATAATCTTTCACATACTCTGCAGTTCAAAATGCAAAATGTGGCAAATTTTATTATCTGATCTATGCAAACATTTGAATTGTTGGTTTATTTTTTATATATCAAAAATATAGAAGTAATTTACTTGGTAAAACTTGAGCAAAACCTTTAGTTCAAGGACCATTTTTATGTCTAATAAAAATTACTAATATTAATAATAATAGGTCATATTAAAACTTTTAAAGTTTTCTCAGATATTTAATATTGCAGTTAAAGTAAAATGATTTCAAGGCTTTCACGTTTAATATGCAGTGAGTATTCAACCTTCCTTAGACTAAAAAAATTGAGACTGCAGTAATTGTTTCTGTTCTAGCCATCTAACTATTCTAAACAGAAGATTTCTAATTAGAGCCATAACAAAACATTAACAGAGAATTAGTTTTATACAAGCACAGACAAGCTTATAGTCATCCCCTACATCAAGAATAGATTCTTCCTGGAACTCTGAGAAGCAAATATGTTCCTGACAAACCACAGTATGAATCCTTTTGTAGGTGCTAAAAGCAAAGGATTGTACAAGGTCACTCTAGTGGAACTGATAAGAGAGAAGTCAGGGAGAGAGAAAGATTGGTGATCAGAAAATTGATCTTTACCGTATAGTATTCTTACTACAGGCCACAGACAAAAACACCATTCATCAAGGATATTGAGGTACTCTAGAAGCCAAGCCACATCTATTACAGTGTTTCCAAAGGAAATGTACTCCAGCTAGGGTTGTGGCTCAGTGGTAGAGTGCTTGCCTGGCATGTATGAAGCTCTAGATTTGATCCTCAGCATTACATACAAATAAATAGATAAAATAAAGGTATTGTGTCCATCTACAGCTTAAAAAAACATTAAAAACCCATAATGACCCAATTATACAATATTATCTGTCTGCTTTGAGCTCCTAGCACTGTGACTGGTATCTACTATGGGACTTTAATAATAAATAAATTTAATAAAAGGAAAGAAATGTACTCCAAATGAATATTTTGGGGTTCTTCATTTTGTTTGTGGGTTGTTTTTGTTTTATTTTGTTTTGTCTGTATGTTCAGAGGGATACATTATTCCATATTTATTTCAGTTGTGTTTATTAAACTTAAAATTCTATAGGAAATCAATTAGGGTTTTTTTCAATTTTACAAACGTTTTAACTGATATTCTTCTCATTCAGTTGGTGGAACTTCATGTTTTTTATGTCCCTGAAGGATCGTGGAACTATAAGTTAAATACTATTTCAATAGAAGTTATTAACAAATTTATTTCTGCTGGATTTATAAGGCAAGTATTTTGTGCATGTAACAAAATACCTAAAAAAAATATTTTTTTGTGCAGAGAAAAATATTTCCTAGAAATTTAAAAATTGTAAATGAAAAATATTTTGCCTATGTCATGGACCCATTCCTAATTTAATGAATATTGACAAACAGTACTATGTAGTAGTTAAATCAAACATAGCTGTAGGAATAGATGTCATTTGACCATAATATGCCACCCAGAGCATAGTGTATAATGTGTAAGAATTAAGGAACAAATTATCTAAAATTAAAAATTTGATGAAGAGCTGTGAATAATGGTTACAGCAATATATCCACTGTTATTTTCTTAGAATTCTTTAAAAATATATGCAAAAGACTTGCATATGCAAGACCCTGAGTTCAATCCCTAGCATGGCGAAAAATAAAAATATAAACAAAGAACATAATTAAATATATATATATATGTGTGTGTGTGTGTGTGTGTGTGTGTGTATTTTCAAATTCACAGAAACATGACACATGATCTGACCTCCTATTGTTAACGTCACCTAGTTGAGTGCCTTTCTTCTTTATTTCCTCATCACTTTTCCAATCCTATTAGTTTCCTTTCTGTTCTAGAGCACATCAGAAATGGCCCTACCTCAAGACTCTTGTACTTTCTGTTCCTTTTGTCTAGAATACATTTTCTGCCCTTACCCTCTCATTCAGGTCTGTACCCAAATATGACTTGTTTGTGTATATATTCTTTGATCATTGTATTTTAAATAACAGCTACAGTCTCTTTTCCTTTTCCCTGCTTTACTTATGTAGCAGTATCTTATCAATTATGTTTTTTTACTATGTATTTTGCTATTTTTCTTTCCCACCACTAGATTATAAAAGCTATGAGGGCATACATTTTTGTATGTTTTGTTGATTGCTGTTCTCCCATCCATTGGAACAATGTGACACATAACAGGTGCACAATAAATATTTGTTGATCAAACAATTGTTCATTGAATGAATTCTCTAATATTTCCCATAATATATCTTTAAAAAAACAAGTACTTAGAACAATGACATAATATTGTCTTTAAATTTTAGACATTGAGAAAAGATCCCTAATGGGCAAATATAGTAGAATCCGACCACATTTAATCATTAAACACATTTTAAGCACTAGATACTGTTAAACTTCCAAAATAAATATCTATGCCTAAGTCACTCTTTAATATATATGTAAAAGCATATAGATTACACAGAAATTTTGTTTTAGTCATAAAATTTAGAGGTGGAATAGCAAAATAGACAATCGTTTTCCTTTTCAGTATTAAAATGACTTTTATAAATAGTATTCGTTTGCATAATTTTAGAAGATAGACATAATCGTTTACTTTGAAAAATATTTGCTAAAGATTATAAAGTGCTAAGCAATGTAGAAATGTAATATAGTAAGCTCTGTCTGATAATTAAATCAACATTTATGTTTGAGATAACTAACATTATTGAACCATTAATATATCCAAACTCTTTCTTTCTACCTCATATAAGGCAATTTTATTACATTTCAGAGTATCTCCTCAACTTACTTTGCAAGCCCTGAGGTTGCGCCTTGGTGAGTTCCTTGGTGAAGATGCTGTTGCAGAAAAATTTTTATTCCTGAAATGCATTGGAAATAATTTAGCTGTGGTAAGAGTTCTTATTTTTTCCTTCTGATTAAAGAAAAGCATTCATTATCAAATTATGTATCTTAAATGCTTGTGAACTCAGCTTCTTAACATACTGTAAGACATGTAATCTTAATCATAAAATATCACTAAGCACATAGATCATGAAAAATAGATCTCTTTGGCATGTTACCAGGCACTAAAATGGTGGGATGTGTCAATTTCCTTGAAAAGGAAGACAAAGTTAACTAATAATAACAATAATATATATTGTTTTTAAACAAAATGTTTTTAAAAAGTACTTGTGTTGTAGCGAAAACAGAGTTCTTTTTTATTTGGGTCACAACTAGCCTTATTGGTTTTAAAATGATAATGTCCCCAATATATTTTTTGGTGTCAGCTATTATCTACTGAACACTTCTATTGGTAGTTTCTGTAATCTGATGGCAGAATATTCTAAGGGAGGACATTTTAGCTAAAATTTCCAATCTGTCAAGCCATCAGACATCAAAGTTTCTGATTTATCTTGTCTATATATAAGGTCAACATTTAAACTTCAAAATGTAGTGTATTCGTATGCCACTTAAGTTAACATATTATGTCACTGCCAGGTGTTCATTGATGTGATTATTTAATATTTAACTCTTATCATTAGATTTTAGTCCTTTGTGACTACATTGTATTTATAACCAGAGCCTAACAAAGGTTTAAATCTTTATCAAACAAATTAAGTAATGAATGATAATGGATAATAAATCTCTCCCACCCGAAGTATTATTATAATTTGCAATGTAGGATTCTTAGATCAGTAGCTAAATTTAAAGAAGTTTTTGTTCTACTTAGTATGCCATAATATTAATTTACTGATTGTTAAATTAGTTCTTCTCAGAGAAGAAAGGGAACATAATTTTTTGTTCTTTTTTTATTATATGTAAATTTATAAAATATCAACCACAGAATCCCAAGCTGGGAACTTAAACATAACTTAGATCAACTTCTAAAATCCTTCTAATATTTTATTTTAAACAAATATTTATTGATATTTTATTTTCTAGAAAGCCAAAAAATGGATATGAATTCTTCCCTTAAAGTATGTTCAGTGTAATGGTAAAATAAGTGGTGTAGGTAAAATATTATCTATAGTCACAAAAAAGAAAAAAACAGAGATTTTTTTTTCAGCAGAAGAAAGCAGAGTAGAGAAATTTGAGGAAGAAGCAATATATAAATTTGGATTTTGAAAGAAATATTTGGTCTTGTAAAAATGAAGTGTGTGAATGGCTTTCTGAGCAGAGAAAATAAGATGAGCATGGAAGTAGGAAAGCAGGCAACTAAGAAAGAATTGATTCATTTCATTAAACATTAACTGTGGGAAAGGGAATAGTGCCCGGCACAAAGTGACTCCATGTAAGATAGCCATAATAATTATTATTAAGTGATATAGAATTCCTATCATGTTGAGTGTGCAGTGAGAAAAGTTATGAAGTACTTTGTTGAATATCTTGAATGCCAGACTAATAGTTTGAATTTTTTTTTCTGAAATCTTGAGTTTTTCAGCAATAGAGTTACATGAGGGCTGGGGTTGTGGCTAAGGGGTAGAGTGCTCACCTAGCACAGGTGAGGCACTGGGTTCGATCCTCAGCACCACATAAAAATAAATAAATAAAAATAAAGGCATTGTGTCTACCTACAACTAACAAAATGCTTTAAAAAAAATAGAGTGACATAATGAGAGCTTTCAGTACAATAATTGGGTCTCACTGAGAAGTAACAAGAGACTAGAGACAGGGATTCCAGCAAGGAGGCTTTTACAGTGGTTCAGGCAAGAGATAAGGAAAAACTAAGACTACCTCTCAGATTTCATCTACTACCATCTTCACCTTGGTTCTACATACTTCAGCTCCAAACATCTTACTTTGGTCCTTACTTATAACAGACATCTCTGATTTACGGTCCTTGCACTTACCTTGCAATCACTTTCCCTGAGTTTTGGATAGCTGGCTGCTCTTTGTAATTTGTTTGAGCTCAAATACATAATCTTTTCAAAAGGACTTTTCTTGATCATTCAGTTTTTAGAACTTTTTTTCTCCAACTTACTCTTTATTGCATCACTCTGTTTTATTCTCATGAATCACATATCACAATCCTAAATTGTTTTTTTAATTTAATATCTGCTTTCACAAGTCGAATGTGAGGTCTACGAGAGCAGTAACTTTGTCTTATTTATCATTGTATCCTCACCAAGTAGAACACCTGACATGTGGTATATCTTCAATATCTGCTAAAATAAATAAATTGAAAGCAAACTCTAGGGGTAGACTATATGGGAAATAAGTCTACAAAATTGGACTCTGGAGTGATTACCAGGTTTTGAATCCTAACTTGGAAACTTCTGTTTATAAAATCTTGGGCAAGTTACTTAATTTCTTTTTGCTTCAGTCTCCTCTGTTAACTATAAGTAATGTTAGTGCCTATCACATGAGCTAACATATGCAATAACATAAAACAGTGCCTGGCACAAAGTGACTCCATGTAAGATAGCCATAATTATTCTTATTAAGTGACATAGAATTTCTATTATGTTGGGTGTGCAGTGAGTAGAAAGAGAATTCTACATTTTTCTAAAATATAGCCATAGCTATTAGTTTTTAAATTTGATTTATATCATACAGATATATGCCTTTTACAAAAAAAAGTGGAGGTAAAAATAATTGGAAAATTTCACAAAAGCTCTTATTTTTTTCTCATCTATTTGTTTCTAGGTGAAAGAAAAGCAAGAACCAGAACTGAAACTCAAATCATTTGCTCCTCCATACGTATGTAATGTGACATTTTAAACTGATGCTAATTTTAATTGTTTTTTTAATTATAAACTAATTTTTAAAATTTCCTATATGTTTTAGGCTCTTCAACCAGAATTATATTTGCTTCCTGTAATGGACCATTTAGGAAATGTTTATTCAGCATCATCATCAGTTACTTTAGATGGGCAGCAGACTAATAGTGATATTGCTGAAATTGATGGAACAATCCATAGACCAGTTAGTGAAACTTTGTCAAAGGAAGAACTTGGAAAGGATCCCAATTTCTTAGAAAACACTTTGAAAGACCTTATTAACACGAATCAGGAAGAAGGTGATTTCAATTAAAATGGGAACAACAAAGAGGTTATTTTAAGTCCATGTGTTTTCCAAAGTGGTTGTACCTCAGTATCTTAGTACATAATTCAGGACCACAGTGTAAATTAAAATACCACTCAAAGCTTTATGGAGAGTAATTGCCCACTTCAATAGCCACTTGACCATATACTCTGTTCAGGAATACTGGGATTCTACTTCGGATATTTGTTTCCCAGATATCATTTTCTTGAGCCTTTAAATGACGTGTTCAGACAAAGAAGAAGGTAAAGATTCTCACTGAGTATCTCACTGGCATCAATAAACAGTAAATATTAGTGTGCCTAAGATTAAAGAAAGTGCCAAGTTTGAAACATCATCAAGTCCTAAACTTCCTATTGAACCATAATCTTGCCATTATATCAGACATTTTATATCTCCTTGTTTCTGTGCTCCACATTCTAAATAATTTCTTTAGATTTGTTTACTATTTTTTAGGTATTTAAAAATATCTCTATAAATCTTCTGGCTTGCATAATTTCAGATGATAAGTCTACTTTGTTTTTATTTTTATTTCTTTTTTTCCCTCTGCTGTCTTTAAGATTTTACTTTGATTTTCAGCAGTATGATTATATATATATATATATATATATATATATATATATATATAAATCTTGATTGGGGTTGTCTTCATTTTGCTTTTACTGTTACAAAGATCAACAGATACATGTCCTATACTCTTACCAAAATGTACCTTGATATCTATTGAGTTTTGTATCATTGTTTATTTTGATGGGGCATGGAGAGAGAGTGGTAGGTATATCCATTTTTTATTTATTTAGCATTGAATAAATCTTTTATAAAAAATTCTGTTCATTAGACTAAATAATTTGGCAATGCCTGCTAGGAAATAAATGATAGTGGTCAAACTGAATTAAACGAATGTGGGCTTCAGGTTGCAAAATAGTTTGACAACCTTTGCAAAATGACTTCTCAAATATTAATTTGACATTTTTTCCTAAATTAAAAAATTTATTTCTGGGGGGATGGAAATCTACATGAATGCTGCTAAGTTCATGGATCTTATGTTAATGTATAGATCATGTGGTACATTAATGTTAATGATTTAAAAACAACTCAAATGGAAAATGCTATTGAAATGAAGGGAGATTCTATAAATGAAAATTTATGTGATATTTTATGCTCTTTATTTATACAAACATTTTCCAGGAAAAGAGTTCCTCAGAAGACTATTTCAAAAGATGCTTTTGGTAAAAGGTGTCTTTTTTTTTTTTTAAGAAATACATGACAGTAGAGTGTATTTTGACCTATGATACATACGTGGAGTACAACCTATTCCAGTTAGAGTCCCATTCTTGTGGGTATACATAATGTGGAGTTATACTTGTCATGTATTCACATCTGAACAAAAGAAACTTAAAACCAGTTCATTCTACTGTCATTTCTATTCCCATCCCCTCTTCCTTCCCTTCATTCCCCTTTGTCTAATACAGTGAACTTATATTCTTCCCCTCCCTACTTTCCCTTGTTGTGGGTTAGCATCCACATACTAGAGAGAACGTTTGGCATTTGGTTTTTTGGTATTGGCTTATTTCACTTAGCATGATGGTCTCCAGTTTCATCCAATTACAGGCAAATGCCACAATTTCATTCTTCTTTATGGCTGAATAATATCTCATTGTATATGTATATCATATTTTCTTTATACATTCATCTGTTGAAGGGCAATGAGGCTGGTTCCATAGCTTTGCTATTGTGAATTGAGGTGCTATAAACATTGATGTGGCTGCATCCCTGTAGTATGCTTATTTTAAGTCCTTTCAGTATAGGCTGAAGAGTGGGATAAATGGTGATTCCATTCCAAGTTTCCTGAGGAATCTCCATGTTGCTTTCTACAGTGGTTGCACCAATTTGCAGTCCTACCAGCAATTTATGAGTGAATCTTTTCCCTCACATCCTTACCATCATTTATTGTTACTTGTGTTCATGATAATTGCCATTCTGACTGGAGTGAGATGGAATCTCAGTGTAGTTTTAATTTGCCTTTCTATAGAAATACAAATGGTTAAAAGTATCTTGAAGACAAAGTTTGGGTAGAGCCCACTTTACTTCCTCTCTCAGAATCATGTTGCTCATAGAGAACTTCTGCAATACAGTTGCTTGTGTGTGTGTATAAGGGAGTTGTATGCCTGTTTAGTATTGTTTAATTCATTTTCTTCCAAACTGAGCTGACCAAAGAATTTTCTTTTCACATAAAGTAATGTTTCATGAAAATCACTTTGTAAATTGTTACCTTTTATCTATATAGTAAAGTTCATGAGGAATATGAAATATAGGACATGATTGTAATATATACATAGAAAATTTTATTTTAGTATTTTATGAATACTCTGAACTTTTTTTTATCATGCATGCACATCAACATCAGCTGAGGAAATAGCCACTCCTAAAGAAAGCCCGATTGTAAAATATCACATTGGAAATTCTGAGTTACCAGGATCATTGGAAAATTCAAATGATTATTTTACCAACAAAAAAAGGTGATTAGTACAGATGCTGATTTCACATGTTATAATCTAAACTATAAGAAAAAGAATGTGATGTCCAGACTACTGTTAATTGGAACAAAGATATGATTGAAATTATTGATCTTTAATTATAATTACCTTGATTCTCATATTTATTGTTATATATGAATGTTCCTCTTCAATATAATGAGGGATGATTTATTAAGTTTATTGATGTTGTGGTCTTTTTGTCATCAGGGACAATTGATGACAGAAAAATTTCTTTGTTTTGCCTTTGTTTAGGACTAATTCTTCTACTTCTCTTAAATTCTTGGCTACAGATAAACTAATCAGTATATTTGAGTTTTACATGGCCATCATTTCAGTAAAAATTAGAGTACTTAGATAACAGTTTTGCTTTTAGTCTTTTGAAATTTTGGTGAGGGTTTTATTCACAAACTATAAAAATATATTTCTAAAATTTCCAGTTACTTTACTTTGTCAGAGACATTGGACTATAATTTGAATTTAGCTATGGTATAATGAAATATGATTTTATTAACTCATACTAAATGTAGTTTATGTTAATCATTAAGAGTTTGAGAGAAAATATGATAATGATTCCAGGCTTTGTTGTTTTATTTATTTATTTTTTTATAATTGTTCTATTTTATTATTAGTTATTGTTGTTGAATTCTTTTTAAAAAATATTTATTTTTTTTTAGTTTTAAGGTGGATACAATATCTTTATTTTATTTTATTTTATTTTATTTTTTATTGGTTGTTCAAAACATTACAAAGCTCTTGACATATCATGTTTCATACATTAGATTCAAGTTGGTTATGAACTCCCATTTTTACCCCAAATACAGATTGCAGAATCACATCTGTTACACTCCACATTTTTACATAATGCCCTATTAGTAACTGTTGTATTCTGCTACCTTTCCTATCCTCTACTATCCCCCCTCCCCTCCCCTCCCATCTTCTCTCTCTACGCCATCTACTGTATTTCATTTCTCTCCTTGTTTATTTACCCGTTCCCCTTGCAACCTCTTATGTGTGATTTTGTATAACAATGAGGGTCTCCCTCCATTACCATGCAATTTCCCTTTTCTCTCCCTTTCCCTCCCACCTAGTGTATCTGTTTAATGTTGATCTTTTCTTCCTGCTCTTCCTCCCTGCTCTGATCTTGGTTGTTCTCATTATATCAAAGAAGACATTTGGTATTTGTTTTTTAGGGATTGGCTAGCTTCACTAAGCATAATCTGCTCTAGTGCCATCCATTTCCCTGCAATTTCCTTGTTTTTTTCTTTTTTAGTGCTGCGTAATATTCCATGGTGTATAAATGCCACATTTTTTTATCCATTCATCTATTGAAGGGCATCTGGGTTGGTTCCACAGTCTAGAAATTGTGACAGGCTTTGTTGTTTTAAAGTGATGGAATTTCAATATGTTTCCCCGGCTGGTACTAAACTCCTGGGCTTAAGTGATCCTCCTACCTCAACCTCCCAAGTAACTGGGACTACAGAAGCACACCTCCCACCCAGTTTTCAGGCTAATTTAAAATTTTTAATGTTATATTTTGGTTTATAAACACCAAATAAAACATGTAAAATATTCATATGTGAATATGAAAGTTAATATTCATGGAATTATATTTTAATATGACTTTCAAATCTGTCCTTTTAAGTCAGTTTCTTTGGAAAAATGAAGAAGATACAACCAACAGTAGAAGACAGGACAGTCAGGTATGATTTTAAAATTTTGATTTAACTTCAGCATTATATCATAATATTTATACATATAGAAATTGAAATTATACTGAAGATTAAGATAAAATTTAAGTTTTCTGATTGTAATACCAGAAAACATCTATTTTTCTAATATCAATAGTGTCACTGATAGTCCAGCTTTTGCTTTTGCTTTTATGCCTGAATGAGAGAGAGGATAAATTAGGTTATCCACCAAAGACTTTTTGGATTTTCATCTCAAATGTTATTACTACTTTTAAGGTACACTGACCTTTACTTAACTGGCAACTTCAGTAGCTAAATTGTAATATAATATGTTGATACCTGTCTTTGATTAATTCAGCTCTTTAGAACAGATTTCTCTAGTGTGTTTCTAGGAAGTACAGTAGTAGGTGGTTAGTACCAGTTACTAGCTCTATGGTCTTGGATATGTTATCTAATTTGAATAGTAATAGTTTAAAGGAGTTAACAAATGCTGTTCCACATCACCAGCTCATTCTCTAGAAATGAAGAAACAGGAAAATTTTGAAAATATTTGTAGGATTAATTTAGTTGCTAAAAATACTAGTTTTAATAATAGTTAACAATGAGTCCCAACTAACTGTCACTAAGTGTTTTACACATTTTGATTCATTTAATCCCCAAAACACCCTATGAGCCAGGTCATGATTATCATCTCCATTTTACAGATGAGGAAACTGAGGCACAGAGAGATTCAGTGGCTTGCTCAAATCATAAGTTCAGCTAGTAAATATTGGAAAGGGGATTAGAGGTGTCAGGGTCTAGGCTGGCTCTAGAATTCATCTTTTTATAATAACTCTAAATAATAATAACAATCTAGCAAAAACTAATTATATAACATTTATTGAGCTAACCACTGTTCTAAATGCTTTTCATATGTTAGTCCATTTAATTGAACAACTTTTTAAGAAGGTTCTGTTATCTACCTTTCAGATCAACAAACTAAATTACAGATTACATTAACTTTTCCATGGTTACAAGTCTTTCCTACTCATTCAGCAAAACTCCAACACTAGTTTACAAAACAACAAACCTCAAATGAGTCTTTAATTCTGCCATACACTATGTATTCCTGATCCATTGCTACTCTTCTAAACAACTCTGCCATATCTTCTCTCTTTTTAAAATTTCTTTATATTAATTAATTTTACAGTAGAATGTATTTTGACACATAGTACACAAATGGAGCACAACTTCTCATTCCTCTGGCTGTGCATGGTTCAGAGTCAGTGTAACCATATATCGTACTTCTCTTCAAACCATCAATACCTCCTTTCTTTTGCAACCTGTGATAATTTGTCCTTGCAAAAATAGGAGAAATTTGAAGAGAACCACGACATCTCAATGTACAGAGTGAAGTTGGAGTTGAGGTTCAGTTTTTCCTCAGATATCCAGTTCTTCTCCATGATTTGTTGATATTCTCTGACCATAAATAAGGTCTTAGACAATTTCTGGTCTCCTTTTCTGTTCAGTGATCTTTTTTCTGTCTTACACCAGTACTACACCACCTTCATTACAGAGGCTTTATAGTAGTTTTTTGTTATCATATAGCATAATACTTCCATATGAATTGGCTTCTTGCTTTCTGCCTAGTTCTAGTGATGGCCTCAAAGATAGTAATTTCAGTAATGGAAAAGACATTCCAGGGGAGCAAACCTAGAACCTGCTCCTTCAGTCTTTCTGTTGCACTTAATTTCCTTTATAAAATTCCTTCCTGCTTAAACTTGTGCTGAACTGATTCAGTATTTGATATAGAAAGTGAAATATGAGAAACAAACTCTTGAAAATGAGAATCTCGAACTTGTTATTACAAAATAATTACAAATTTTGCTAATTTGTGCTAGTAGAAATTTAGAATATTACTGGGAATAAATTAAGACCAGAAATGAAGGACTATAGCTATTGATTGATGCAATTTTAAAAGTATGGGTATACTTATCAGAGATTCTGAATTTAATGTGCTAGCTTAAGCAGTTGTGAGTGGTAAAAAATATTTTGCTAAATTGACAAACAGGTTGACAAGAACCTGGACTATATGATAACTAAGCTAAATAAATTTAGAATGCTAGAAATTTCTTGGAAAAATGAGAGCAAGAAATGCAAAGATGACAGGAGATAGCAACTGGTTTTCATAGACCCCTTCATCCATTTAATCAAATGGTAAGGAATATATTGGAATAGCAAGCCTAGCATTCTTAACAAAACCCTATAATGACAGTTTTATGTGGACTGAAATGAAGACAGGAATGTATTCCTTGGTTTCCTTAGAGATCACAGGATTTGAGTGGCTAATTTATACCATTTTACTTTACAATAAAAAGCTGATTATAAGGATGTTTGAGAAATCCTTAACAATAAAGATGCAAGGTATCCTTAATACTAATTGATCATGGTGTTCCTCAGAATTCAATGGGCAAGTGCATCAGTAAGTTCTTTATCTGTGTAATCAAAAGGAATTGATCCCCTTTGGACCTGGTAAGCAGGAAGTAATGAAAAATACTCTATATATCTTAGGTGAGACAATGTTTATTAGAGGGTGGATATAAGCCTCTAGAAAATTCAGGAGCTTGAAGGACAAAAGATAGCAGATTAGAGGAAAGTTACATTTCCAGTTGCTCTGTGCTCAGGATTCAAGCAATGGGAGAATTCTCAGAGAGGTGAGTGAAAGAGGGATTTCACTAAAATTCATTACCGAACAGTCAAGAGTTTCTTAGAGACTGATAAATTCAGGTGAATTGAACAACAAAAACAAACCAAACCAAAAAACAAACAAACAAAAAAACAAGAATGACTACACTGGAGCCAAGCCAGATGCTGCAGTAGCAATGGCAGCAGCAGTGGTGGTGGTGCTAGTTTACCACAGAATGAAAAGATAACACACTGAGAAAAATGTAACAGAAAAAATTAGCACAGAAACCTATAGATCAGAAAAGCATCCTAAATTTAGCTGATCCAGACTGCACAACAAACTGGTGTTTGAAAAGTGCTCTATATTTCTCAACTAGCCAGTGGAGATTAGCAGGAACCATTTTAGGAGGTCATGCTGCAGCTTGTTGTTGTCAAGCCTGTAAGATCATAGCCAGCATTGATTGAGAAATCGTCACAGACATCACAGAAATCCAGAGGATCATTATGGACTATTTTGAAAACTTATACTCCAGTAAATTGGAAAACCTAGACGAAATGGATACATTTTTAAACACATATGACCTACCAAAACTGAATCAAGAGGAAATAGAAAAAATCTAAACATACCAATAACTAGCAATAAAATAGAAGCACTATCTTCCAAAAAAGAAAAACCCAGGACCAGATGGATTCTCAGCTAAAGTCTACCAGAACTTTAAAGAAGACAATGCTTCTCAAATTATTCCATGAAATAGAAAGGGATGAAACACTTTCAAATTCATTCTATGAAGCAAGTATCACACTGATAACAAAATCAGGTAAGGACACATAAAGGAAAGAAAACTATAGACCAGTATCCCTTATGACCTTAAATGAATTAAGCACTTTATTAAGAAGATTGTACATCATAACTAAGTTAATTTTATCCCAGGAATACAAAGATGGTTGAACATACATACACAAATCAGTAAGTGTAATTCATCACATAAATAGAATTAAGGACAAAAATCATTTAGTTATCTCAGATGCAGAGAAAGCTTTTAACAAAATTCAGCACCACTTCATAATAAAAACGCTGAAGAAACTAGGGATAGAAGGAACCTATATCAATATCATAAAGGCTATATATGAAAAACCCAAAGCCAACATCATAGTGAATAGGAAAAAACTGAAAGTATTTGCTTTAAAACCTGGAACAAGTTCATTCTCACCACTCCTATTTAATATAGTACTAGAAATTCTAACCAGAACAATTATACAAGAGAAGGAAATAAAAGGGATAAAAATAGGAAAGGAAGAACTCATATCGTTTCCAATATTAACTCATATTGGAAACGGTATGATCCTATACTTAGAAGATCCCAAAGGTGCCACCAAAAGACTGCTAGAGCTAGTCAACACATTCAGCAAAGTAGCATGTTACAAAATTGACATACAAAAATCAGTAGCTTTCCTATATACCAATAATGAGTCTGCTGACACAGAAATCAGGAAAACAATCCCATTCACAATAGCCTCAACACACATACATAAACAACAACAACAACAAAAAAAAACCTAGAAATTAACCTAACCAAGGAGGTAAAGATCTCTACGATGAAAACTACTGAACACTGAAAATTAAACTGAAGACTACACAAGATGGAAAGACCTCCCATGTTCATGGATAGGCAGAATATATTCATGGCTATATTACCAAAAGCAATATACAGATTCAGTACAATCCCCATCAAGATATCAATGACATCCCTCACAGAACTAGGAAAAAAAACAGTCCTAAAATTCATTTGGAAGAATAAAAGACCCAGAATAACCAAAGCAATTATAACCTAAAAAGGTAATGCTGAAGGCATCACAATACTTGACCTCATATTATACTACAGAGCTATAGTAACAAAAACTAAATGGCACTGGCATAAAACAGATACAGAGAGCAATGGTATAGGATAGAAGACCCAAACATACCACACATCTACAGTCCTTGACAAAGATGCCAAAATCATACATTGGAGAAAAGACAGCTTTTTAAACAAATGGTACCTGGAGAACTGGTTATCCATATGTGGAAGAATGAGACCAGACCCTTATCTCTCACTTGGCACAAAAATCAATTGAAAATAGATCAAAGACCTAGGAGTTATAAAAGAAACTCTGCAACTTCTAGAAGAAAATATAGGGTCAACATTCCAACATATAGGCATAGGAACAACTTTTTCAATAAGATCCCTAAAACTCAGGAAATATTGGCAAGAGTTAATAAATGGGATAGCATCAAACTTAAAAGCTTCTTCACAGCAAAAGAATGTGAATAGAGAACCTACAGAATGGGAAAAATCTTTGCTAGTTACTCTTTTGACTCTGAGGATTAATATTCAGAATATATGAAGAACTCCAAAAACTTAACATCAACAAAACAAATAATCCAATAAATAAATGGGCAAGTGAGTTAAACAGACATTTCTCCAAAAAACAAATACAAATGGCCAACAAATATATGAAAAAATGTTCAATGTCATTATCAATTGGGAAAATGCAAATCAATATTACATTATGATTTTACCTCCCTCCAATAGGAATGGCAGCCATCAAAAATACAAAAAGTATAAATGCTATCGAGGAAATGGAGAAAGAGGAACACTTTACATTGTTGGTGGAACTGTAAATTAGTACAACCACTGTGGAAATCAGTATGAAGTTTCCTCAAAAGATTAGGCATGGAACCACCATATGGTATTTATCCTAAAGAATTAAAAGTCATCATACTATAGGGATACATGCATACTCGTGTTTATAGTAGCATAATTCACAATAGCCAAACTATGGAACCAGCCTAGGTATCATCCATCAATGTATGAATAGATAAAAGAAAATGTGGTATATATACACACTGGAGTTTTATTCATCCATAAGAAGAATAAAATAATATCATTTGCAGGAAAATGGAGAACATAAGACCACTATGTTAAGTTAAATAAGCCAAAATCAGAAGGTCAGGGGTTCTATGTTTTCTTTAATCTGTGGAAGTTAGAAAGGAAAAAGGAAAAGAAAGGTGGTGGGGGAGAATCTCATGAAAATTGAAAGAAGATCAGTAGAGAATAGAGGGGCCAGGGAGAGGGAAGAGACCAGGGAAAGGACAAATACTGGAGAATGGTATTGGCCAGATTACATTGTTATATTGTGTACATGTGTGAATGTGTAACAACAAATCTCACCATTAGATACAACTATAATACACCAATAAAAAATGTGGAAAAAAATTCATGATCTTACCAATGTTTTGAAGTTTCTAGATGTCCATGAGTAGAGACTTGTTGAGCTATCTCCTTTAAAGTAAAAGCAGGTTTTTGTACTTTGTCCCAGGAACCATTGACAATGAGACAAAACACTTGATAATCACTTTCAGAATTTGGAGAGAAATTTGGAGCATTCGGATATGCTGCTCTAAACCCTCCCCCTGCCCCTCTCTCCCCCTCCCCCACCCCTCCCCTCCCCTTCCCCTCCCCCTCATCGTCCTCCTCCTTCTCTAATTTTGAAGACTGAATAGGACTGAGTAGTAGCAAACTGAGAGTACTCAAACAAGACAAAAACTTGCATGGTGATCCAATAGACCCTGCAAGCAATGTTGCCACTTGTGTTTTAATGTTCAATTCAATAATACTAGATAGATACACAAAAGAATGTCTGTACAAATCCCGGTAGGACAATCACAGCTCAGATCCCTTAGATTTTGGAGCAAAGGCATGCCATCAGTTAATAATTCTATTGCTGATGAATGTTTGCATTGTTTCCAACTTAAACCTATTATCAACAGTACAGACAAGAGAGGAATATATATATGTCTAGAATTTTGGGAAAAGCCTATCTATAGCAATTAAATCATGCCAAATTTTGTTCCAAAATTGTACAAATTTACACTCTGACTGGGAATCCAAGAGATTTTCTGTTTCTCTACATCTTCAATAACACATGCTGTCTTCACACTTTAAAATTACAGGAAATCTGGTGGGCACTTAATTCTATTTCACTGTGGTTTACATTTCTCTGGTTATCTATGAATTTGATCATCTTTTTGTATTTTACTGACCCCCATTTTGATAACTTTAATTTAATGAGCTATCAAGTATTTCTATTGGGTTCTCTGCTATTTAGGAGACAGGCAGTTTTAAATATATTGTAGGAATTTTAAATATACTCTAAAAGATAGTCCTTTGCTACTTACCTGTTTTATAAATATCTCCTCTCCTACTTTGTGGCTTGTCTGTGTTCTACTTTGCTGATATTTGACATTCTTACTTATTTTTTCTACATTCTCTCTCTTAGACTGAGAGCAATATATTAGATTCTCCTTTAAGTACCACGACTAAATATCCTTGCATTTCTTGTGATTTCTAAAAATATATTTGTATGTATTATTACTTTTCATTATGAAATAATATATCAGTAATGTGGTTTTGGCCTGAATTATTATTTATTGAATATTGAGATTATCTGCTTTCTTTTTGCATTTATTTGCTATATTCTCATTCCTCACCCTCCTCTTTATTTCAGCCTTTCTGAATCACTTTGTTTTGGGTGTCTCTCTTGTATATAAAGTTGGATTTTATTTTGTGAACCATCTAAAAATCTTTATTTAGATGAGTTATATCCATTTAAATTATTAATAGGACTGATATGTTTGGTCTTAGATATGTCATTTTGTTTTATTTTTCTTTTATTTTTTTATTGGTTATTCAAAACATTACAAACTCTTGACATATCATATTTCATACATTCGATTGTCATTTTGTTTAGATTATAGTTATTGTGTCATGTTTGCTTTTTTATTTTCCCTTCTGGCATTTAGGAAGTTTTGAATTTTTACTGTAATGTTTACCTTTATACTGGTATTCTTGGTATTTCATTTTTTCTTTTTAAAAATGTATGCTTTTTCTTTTGACTTATTACCTCTAAAATTATGCTCTAAATCCTGCTTACTGTATTTGGGGTAATAAAAGACTTGCTCCACTTTTACCTTCTTTCCTTCCTTTGTATTTATTTTTAGTTGTGTTGTTTCCACTTTAAGAATATGATATTTTGTACTATCCTTACAGTCTAATCTCCTCACCTCTCCTGTTGTTTTCATTCTCTTTTTAAAATTTAAAAACTTTTTTTTTAGTTGTAGACACACACAAAACCTTTATCTTATTTATTTTTATATGGTGCTGAGGATCAAACCCAGTGCCTCACACACGCCAGGCAAGCACTCTTCCACTGAATTGCACAGCCCCTCTTTAAAAAAAAAATTGATGGTGTTTACTGATATCTGCAAATGCTTGATTAATTATATTTAATATACATTGATAATGTCAATTTTTTCTCTTCTTCCAGGTTGTTTTTGTTTTGATTTCAACCCTCAATTTTTAGGTTTCCTTCATAAGTAACTCTCTGGATCCTAGATTATTTTGTGGATGGCTCATGTTTATTGATTTACTTGATTTTTCTGTTAGAATACTAACAGGTATTCTTAGGAAGTTATGATCTATTTAGTTTCTTAGATCAGGAGCACCCTCTTCTGTTGTTATAGTGAAATGCAATTCTTTCCTTTTTGTAAATATTGCCTTTTGAGGAAGGGGTCTGGTTTTGATTTTTGTTATTGTTTTTTATTCTTTCATACTAGCTTATCAATGGAGAGTTTATCTTGGACATTTTCTTATTTTCTCTTATCTAGTAACCCCTTAAGAGACACCTCTCCCATCCAAAGCTTTTTCCTCTCTCTCAGAAACTGTCTTCCCATGATTATTACCTCTGGTCTCCTACATTTTTTAGGCCCTTTCTTTTGGGCCCTCATAGAAAGTACTGTGATCTATAGGTCATCTCCTTGTTCTTAGTACTTCTCTGCTTCAGTGGGGTCTTTCCTTCCTGATATTTTCTATGTTATCTATGTGTAGTACTCCCTATAGAAAATCTACATCTGACTCTGCTCATCTGTGAGCTCCTGCCCACACTCTGGTTTAGAGTCCTATTTCCCCAAGTACGTGTAAATTGAAGGATTCTGAATTCCATGCTGTAGGCATAAGTTGTGGTTGGTTTCATTTGCTTTCCTTAGGGTAGTTGGAAATATGTATAGAGAAATTCTAATTTAGGTAGTTTCCTTTATCCTATGGGAACTATATTCTATAACTTAATAAAACAAAAAGGAGTTAGATCTTGAAGTTAAAAGTAGAAAAAAAATTAAAATTTTTAATTTTAAAAATTAAAAATCTAGCAAAATTGAAACAAAATCAAGATCTATAAAGTAGTAGTGGGAGAAACGTCAATATGGAATAGCTTGAGGCAGCTTATTAAAAAGTAGAATCACAAAAATTAGGAAAGATGAAATCAATATAAGTAAAAACACAAAAGAGATAAGTATATGAGAATAAAATGTAAAATTCTATACTAACATTTAAAAATGTGACAGACTCACTAATTTTTCGAAGCAAATATCAAAATTGACTCAAGATGAAAAAAAATCAATAGCCACCTCACAAAACCTAAGTTATGTCAAGTAACTGAGGCCAGAAATCTTGGAAAGAAGTCATGTTTGGAAAGAAAAATAATGGATTCTTTTTAAAAATATATATTTTTTGTTTGAATGTCTGTACATAATGTTTGTATAATAATGGAATGGAGAGACTGGAGCCTGAGTGAAAATCTGGGAGTTCATCATTGTATTAAAAAACAGGTATTGAAAGGCAGCAAAATACAACAGACACTGGTATGGCAGTATGTAAAAACGTGGATGTGTAACCGATGTGATTCTGCAGTCTGTATGCGGGGTAAATGGGAGTTCATAACCCACTTGAATCAAATGTATGAAATATGATATGTCAAGAGCTTTGTAATGTTTTGAAAAACTAATAATAAAAAAGTATTGCTGGTATGCATTACATAGTACTTATAGACAAATGGAAAAAGAATGTATACCCTACAAGATTTTATTGACTTTCATGTTTGCTTACAGACAGGTGAAAAGGATCGAATCACCCTACCAGACCTTACTGATTTTCCTTGTCAACCTGTTCTTTCTTCAGGAATACCTGATATACCTCTGTTAAAGATCGAGAGTATGTACTGTGACATCACAAGTATAGATGATTCTGTGAAGTAAAGTTAAATAGTTGTTTCATGGGTACAGAGTTTCAGTTTGTGAAGGTTAAGAGTTATGGAGATGGACAATGGTGATGGTTACAAACAGTGGGGATACATGTACTTAATGTCACTGATATGAACACCTAAAATGGTTCAAATAGTAAATTTTATTAAGTATGTTTTACTACAATAAATGTGAAATTATATAAATTTTGTATTTTAGTCACTAATTAAACTCTAAAATATATTTTTCCACATAAAATAACTTTGGGCCCAAGATAAATTTACCAAAAGAATTAGACCAAAAAATATAACTATTTGAGCTTTACCTAATTTCTACAAATACATGCATATAAATGCAAAAGAGAGCCATTGTTTTATAAATCCACTCTTATAAAAATCAAAAAGATTTTTTACACTCTCCAGAAGGGTAAATGGCAGCAAGAAAAACAAAAGAGTTTTGGGTAAAATTTATTCTTGCTGTTTTAGACTCCATATTTTATGACATGAACCATCTTAGCTTTTTGGCATTGATGACTATGGATTACATTTCTTTAGGAGAGAAGATTATTGAGCAAATGAAACAAGTAAAGGAAGAAAGAAGATATCTGGAAAGAATTAGAGATGAACTAATAAAAAAAGTTGAAAAGCTGTTTGATCAAAGCAAAGGGAAACGATATCATGGTAAAGTTTATTATTTAGATTTTGTCACTATAAAGAAAACAAGCCTTAAAGAATTAATACTTTCAGGATAAATAATAGAGTTAATATTTACTGTTTTAGGGAAGGGAAGTCCTGGGGACTGAATTAGAGCAACTTATATTACATGTTTGTATAATTATGTCAAAATTAACTGTAATATATAATAATATTAAAATGAACTAATAAATTTTTTAAAAAGAAAAAAAATTACTGTTTTGCTAATATAGTTTAAAGTGGTACATCTGAGATGCTTTCAATATAGAAAACAAAATTTTTTAACTCATACAAAATGATTTATAGAGCTTTGTAAATTTTTTATAACTGAAGTTCATTTATTTATTCATTCTTCCATTGATTTATTAAATAAGTATTTATTAAGTGCCCACTGAGTCTAGCCACTGTTCTAGGGACTGAGGAGACACTAATAGGCACGTACTATCTTGTCCCTACCATTTTGGGTCTCATGATCCAGTGGGGAATGATAAGTTAAACATTGATTATACATTCCTGATAAATGAATTACAGAGTTCTGTAGATAGAAATACAAAGAAAGAACACCTAAATCAGATGGAAGAAATCAATGGAAGCTTCCGAGAACTTCTAGGGATGTTAGGACCTGAAGTGTTTCTTAGCTCCAGGCTTTCAGGCATACTTTTTCCTCTGCCATTCACTTCTTTTTTTTTTTTTCCTATCTTTTTCTCCTACTGTCTTCTTCCCAGTTTTTCTGGGTATTTCTTATTAATTATTCAATATCAACTTAGATGTCGCTTACTCTCTGAGCCATATTGAGTCCTTTGAACTTATCTAGGTGCTTAATTTAGGGGTATGTGAGCCACTCTGCCTTGCTAGAGTAAATGAATGAGAGCAGTTGGGGAATATAAGTAGATTTCTTGCAGAAGAATTAGAAACAGTGTCCTTAGGACCAGTAGAAATGGAAAAAAATGTACCCAAGTGAAGAATGTTTAGAATAATGGTTTGAGAGATGTGAAATCATTTGAGAGGCCTGCATTCTTAGTTGTTTTTGAGAATTATTAGAATAAAAGTCATATATGAAACAATTGGTTTTAAGATTCTCAATTTACAGCAAAATTGTTGTTTCAATACCAGAACTAGCTAAAGATTATTGACAATGTCAGGAGATATTTCCGAACTGCCTCATAATGTTAAGTTGTTATCCTGGAAGTGGTGGCAGTGACTCAGTCTTGTACTGTTGTTAAGAGTGATTTTATCAGACAGTTTTGAACAACGGACTAGAAATCACAGGACCTGAATTCTAATATAAGATCAATCTTTCACTTAGGCAAATTATTTCTCCTCTTTGTGCCTCTCATTCTTTCTATAAAATGGGAAGATCAGTTGGTTTCTTCTTCAAGAGTAATGTTTCAAGATAAAAGGGTATATAAACCATCAAATATTCAGCGAACCTACTGTGTGCCTGACATTGGCTTAAACATTGAAGATATAACAGTGAACAAAACAGACATGGCCCTGCTCTTAAGGAACTTGATTCCAAATGGTAGGAAAAAGACAATAAGCAAATAATTAAGATAATATCAGTTACTGGTCAGACTTGAAAAGTCAATTAAAAAGAGCATAGTAAAGAGTGATGTGGCATGGTAAAGATGTTTTAGTTACATTTTCAGGGAGGGCATCTCTGAGGAGATATCATTAGTATTTGAGTAATAAATATGCAGGCATATAAAGAAATAGGAGGAAAACAAGATGAATTGAATGAACACTGAATATCAAGGTCCAGAGATAAGAATAACCTCATGATATCAAGGTTCTAAAATAAGGCCAGTGTGGGTGTAGCATGATAAATAAGGAAGAATGTAGAGGGAAAGAAAAATCAGAAAGTTCAGCAATGAGCAGACAGGCCAATTCAGAGTTTGGAATTTATTCCAAGTAAGGTGGGAAACCATTGGTGAATTTTAAGCTAGGGATTTACATGATTTAAAAATATATATTTTAGGGGCTGAAGATCTCGCTCAATGGTAGAAAGCAAGACCATGGGTTCAAGACTTAGCAGTGCAAAAAATAAATAAAATGACTGCTATATAACAAAGCCTTTAGGGGGCAAGAATGAAAGAGAAAGCAGAGAAATACCTATTAGGAAGACAATGCAGCTTTCTTGACAAAAGATAGAGTTTTGAGTAGAGATGTAGCATTGAAGAATGTGGAATATCCCAGATGTTGGAAATATTTTGGCAGTAGTGCCAGTAGAACTTGCTGACAAATTGGATAGCAGGGCATGGAGAAAAACAGCTAAAATCTAGAGGCAAAGTTTCAAACATCTATATAACTGTCATCAAATTGCCTTATAATGTAGAACTTTTTAATTTGGAATTTTCATTTTGATGCTCATATAAAAGAAACAAGCATATGAATATTCTGGTACACTAGTATACTGGTTGTGATCTTCTTAAGTTTGTATTTAGTCTCACATTGGTGTCAAGGTGATTTTCTAAGCTGGTAGTGTTTAGTTTCTGATTTTCTCTCTGTCCTATAGAATTTTAGACAAATATTTGGAATAATTTTAATAAATAAAAAAATCCAAATCAGCTATTTACACAAAACATAAGTCATTGTGGGGGCTGAAAAAATTTTTTTTAAATTTTTAAATATGTCCTTTACTTTATTGTTTTAATTATATAAATAACATTTCAAATAAGATTATAAAAACAAATAATTAAAATAAATTTATATATTTTGGTATAGAAATGAATATAGTATTTTTAAGAAACAATGTTTAAAGGAGAACTTGTTTGTAGTTTCTAGATCTGTCATTATTTTATTGTACTTGTAGGTACTTTCTTCTATTATCCAATAAACATTTCTCCCTTAGCTCTAATGTACTAAGCATATAAGAGATGGAGAAGAGGAGGAAAATAATTTAAGTTGACATTAAGGCTAGGGTTCTTTCTACATTGAAAAGTTTAACCCTTTAACCATACTCAATCTTTGTGTGTTTTTTGTTTGTTTTTTGTAGCTTTTGATGGTTGGAAGAAAAAATACTTGGAAACAAAAAAAGTCACAGCATCACTGGAAGAGGTTTTAACAAAACTTCGAGATGATTTGGAACTCTATTATAAAAAACTGCTCATGCAACTTGAAGCCAGGGAGATCAAGATGAGACCAAAGAATTTGGCAAATATCACAGACTCTAAGGTACTAAATGTGTCCCACTTCCACAATTACATTTATAATTGCTCATATTGTTGTATTTAGGATGCTTTGGGCTACAGGTAACAAAACTTTGACTTAAATTTTCTCGGTAACAAAATTCATGAGCTGGGGATGTGGCTCAAGCGGTAGCTCGCTCGCCTGGCATGTGTGCACCGGGTTCGATCCTAAGCACCACATACAAACAAAGATGTTGTGTCCGCCAAAAACTAAAAAAAAAAAACAAATATTAAAAAATTAAAAAAAATTCATGACCTCATGTAATAGGAGGAGGGCTGCTATGGAGATATAGTCAGCATATTAAAAATGTTTTTAAAGGGTCTACATGCTTCTGATATTTCCTCCCTATTACTTTTAGTGTTGGCTTCACCATTAGACTGCTTTTTCTAATAGTAGCAATAGTGTTGCCAATGACAAGTAGGGCTATCTATCTTCAGAACAGGAGAGAAACCTATACCTGAACCACAGAATATATAAACCTTGAAACAAACAAGCCTAACTGTGGTTCAATAATTGTCAAGGAGTACTATGCATTGCCTTAGACTAATAGGGCCATGTTTCTTGATTCCATGGCAAAGAGATAATTACCTGATAAAGTAGGGTAAAGAAAAAAACAGTATTTACTGTACTGCTTTTTCTTGGACTTTAAAAATACTTTAATGAAATTTTGACGAATTCATTTTTCTTGAGATAGTCTTGAATCTTACTTAGATCAGACATGAAATTTATTATTGAGTAATTCTACCATATAATTAAATAACAGACAAAAAATTCCAGGTCATTTAACAATTTTATTTTTGTTAGATTGATCATATTTACCCATTGATTTTAAAATATGTTAATTATGATTAAGAGTAAGAATTTAACTTCAGGGATGATAAAATATTAAAAGTTTACTATTTTTGATAAATTTAATATAACATCCAAAATAGGCTTAAATAATTATTTGGCCATATTAGTAGACTTTTTTTAAGCACAGCTGATACTTTATCTTACAATTTTATCAAGTTCAACATGTTTAAATTCTTAAATAATTTCATTAGTGAAGATCACTATATCTCACAAACTTTTTGGACAAAGTGACCAAAAAGTCTTATTTTAACTAGTTTTTTTGTATTAAAATGTTTTTATATAAAACATGTGTCCCATTTATTAAATATTATTAAATAATTCCAATCTGATTCAGCTAACAAAGGCATTATTGTCAATTTCTAAATTCAGCTAGTATCTTCAACCTAGCTGATTCATTTCTTAGTAATAGTTATCAGTTTCTATGGTGCTAATTTAATGGTAATTTTTGTAAATATCTGTTTTTTAAATAGCAAATGATACAACAATGATAGAAGAGAATGTAGTTCCTAAAGTGCAAGAAATAAATAGAAAGTAACAAGTAATTTATTCTAAAACAATAAGTTTATTTTATGGAAATACTTTATTATGATGATTTTTTTCTTTTGTTACTTATCAGTTCACATTATAAAATGCCTTGCATTAAAATATGCAAATGCTATGCTAAATAAATGTGTCTTTCTATATCTCACACAGAATAACCTTATAATCCAGATCACTGAAGTACAGCATGCAATTGACCAACTTAAAAGAAAATTGGATACTGATAAAATGAAACTCATCATAGAAGTTAAGGTAATTTATATATCTCTTAATCATATTATAACATTCATCTTGAAATAACACTAAAATATTTTGGTGTTTTAACTTTGTGTTGATAGTAAAAGAATAGTCAGAATTGACTTTTTTAAAGTTTTATTATTTAACAATAAATAGCATGAATGAAAATCTATTTTTTTTAAAAGATGTAGGTTATAGCAAGGCCAAAGGAAAAATATAATAAAATTTTACTATAGTCAGTTTAGTCTCAAAAAATATATTAAAGATAGTTTTCCTATATTAGAGTAATTCATAAATAAGTCTTGACAAACTTCTGACCTCTCCTCGAAATCCCATTCAGTTTCTTCCCCTCTACTTGGGGATTATCTCATTCTGTCCAGTTATTTCCATATATATTTTTTATTTGTTTTTACTATGAATCTTAGTAAAACTAGATGATAAGTTCTTTCAGGACTGTGCCTTCATTCATTTTGTTTCTTCCATAAGACATTGTATATAGTAGATATTTAATAAAGGGTTGTGGGCCTATTTTACTTACTTGATTAAAAACTGTGATTATCACATCATAGGAATAATTTCAGAATATAGATATCTTTAAAAGCTCTTTTGTTGAACACAAAATAGAGAATTATACACTTTCAAACAAATTATAATACACAGAACAGGAAAATAAGAATGATAATTATAGGAATGCCCTCCATTCACTCTTTATCAGAAAGCTTTATAACACAGAATAATGACCCCTTCTAGATTTATGACTGTCCAGCAGAACTTTCTGTGGTGATAGAGATGTTCTGTATCTCACCATCCAATATGGTAGCCACTAGCCACTTAGGATATTGAGCCTTGAAATGCTTGTGTGACAGAGGAACTGAATTTTAAATTTTATTAAACTTTAGTTGATTTAAATAGCTACATATGATACCTATCTACTACACTGGATAGTGTACTTCTAGATTCTTTTTACTTAGAGGCACTCTTGAGTTTAAGTCCTGGTTCAGCACTAAGAAGCTTAAAAGTTAAAAAAGAGAAAAAAAAAAAAGATCAAAGGACAATTTTTAACAAACTATGAAGTAAACATTCATATACAACCTAGACTCAAAAACAATGAAGGAAAACCGTGTGTTTACTCAGTATATGAGAGAGAAAGCCAAGATGGAAATTTGTACACTGAAAGATAGTTGTGTGAGTAGAAAGGATAATTAAAATGCCCCCAGAGCCTTCAGTTATGACTCCCCAATGTTCTTTCCTTCTGGAAAGCATGCTTAGATCCTACCTTCTTTGAACATGTTAACCTTATAAACATCACATACGCTTTGCATGTAAATAGTATAAAATTAATAAAGACAAATGAAGAAGAAAAATAAACAAAAACTCCAAAATACAAAAACCCCTTAATTCCTAGAGAACAAAGTTTTCAGCTTATAGACTATAAAATATTTCCTATATTTAACCATAGTGCCTGATTGGCACGTTAACAGATACTATAATATTTACTGATTTCTGAATGAACTACCCAAAACATCCCTACCTATAACATTCAGAACTAAGGGACAGAAATCTAGCCTAAGTCTGTTGCAACCACATATTCAAGATAGTATAGCATAAGTAGTGTTTCTTGAAGTTTAATGTGCTATCACCTGGAAAGGTCATTTTAAAATGAAGCATCTGGCTCTCTAGGACTGGGAGAAGCCTGAGATTCTTCATCCCTAACAAGCTTGCAGATAATCCTAATGGTGTTTGTCCACCAATAGTACCTGGAATAGCAAGGCCTCTGGTCCCAGGTGGCTGTGCCACTTTTTAACTTTATACCTTGAGCAAGATACTTAGTTTCCTTGAGTCTCAAGTTTCTTGAGTTTATTTCATTTTATAATAAATAATAGTATGTGCCTCAAGAAAAGTTTGGGAAAAATCAAAGGATTAATACATTTAGAAAAGTGCTTAGCACAGAGTAAAAACTTTTATTAAATTTCTTAAATATCTGTTTAGTTCCTAAGGACTAGGAATTAAGGGTTTTTTGTATTTCTGAGTTTTTGTTTTTCTACTATTTTCTTTACCCATTAATAGCAACAGATTTTTGAAGCTTAAGAAAAAAATAAAATTCCTTCTCACCTTATTTAGGACAGTTCAGTTGTATTATCTGTATATACTAATAAATGGAATTATCTCATAGCATACCTAGTTATATAAGCATAGTTATTAAACAGGATTTATGACCTATGAATTTGCTATAGTAATCCAGAGGGAATAAAGGCATAGAAGGCAAATGAGAGAAGGCAGTTACAAAATTGACAATTCTGATCTACTTCTAGAAGGGTACAATGAAGTTCAGTTTTGAGAGGTAATTATTTTTATAGATGAGAAAACAAGCAGCTTCAGACTTACGAACACTGAAAGCTGAAATGGCACAGAAGAAAACCAATACATCTTCACAATCTCAATCAGGTATGTTAATTTAACTTATTTGTTGAAAACTTTGAATATTTATTTGAACAGATTAAACCTTGTTCTCCTTATAGTACATTATATAAATATTAAGATTAATGTATCAGTTTAAAAATAAATTTTTTAAAAATCCTAAGGTTTATCTCTCTTTACTTTTCATGTGGGTATTACAAAGTGTTTCAGGAAATACTAGATGTAGCATAAAGCTACAGTTGATGTTTACTTTTGAAGATTTCAAGTCTATTACCTATTATTTTGCAGCACTATATTTTATAAATTTAAAATTACTTTTTGTTGTTAATGATAAAATTTAAGAGCTAATATAACTAAAATCTAATTTCAAAGAAAATACATTTTAATAAATACTATGTATTTACATAGAAAGATTAAATTTGCTCATTAAATCTTGACTAAAAGCAATTGTATCAGAACAGTGATAGAAATTAATATCTAAGAATTTTTATTAACTCATTTTAAAATATAAATTTAAAATAATTTAGAAATGTAGAGATTCTTTTAGAAACATGAAGTAATTTAATACATAATAGGTTATTTTATTCTGAAATAAACAACTTATAGGAAGGAAAAGTAATATTGTAAAAGATGGTTGAGTCATCATTTATTTCAATTTGGAAGGGATGATGTGCTGGAAAGACAGGATTAATATAAATCTAGAGTTCCGGGATGCAAAATTCTAATCTCTATTCACAGGAACCAGTGCAGCACAATGAAATTCTTAATTACCTTATGAAAGAAAACGGATTTCTTTATGTTTAGGAAAGTCTTCTGCATAAAATTAATCTTTTAGAAAAAGGAACTAGTTGAGAACTCAACATCTTTAGATAATTAAAAGTAAAATGCAGATGCAGAAAAATAAATTTTTAACCTTGAAAACTAGCCAAGAAATAAATTCTACATGTTCATAAATGAAGGTATCTGAATAATTGGAAGTGCAAATAATAGTGTCAAGTTCAACACCATTATTCCTACTGTAAAAACATTCCGCACATAAGCCTCATAAAAATAATTGGTTTGGAAAATATTAAGTAGCTCTAAATTACTAATTCACAATATTACTGTTATCTTCTGTTTTGTATTTTGTGAATACATTTAATTCTTAGTATTTCTTTTTTTTCTTTATTCACTGTCAGGAAGTTGACATTATTTCAGATACTTCAGAGAATATGAGTATGTACTATATCGAATCAGAAAGCAGAAAAATTATTTTCATCATTTTGATGAACCTAAACAGAAGACACTGAATTCCATGTTTAAAATTTATTGGAAAAAAAGTACAAAACAAACTGCTTCTCAAAGGCTATGTTTTTAAAACTCTATTCTAAGCAAACAATTTCTACTTCAAGTTATACATATTTTTAAAACTAGCATTGACTCATATTTTTAATATTGGAGTAAAATTAGCATAATAAAATTTTGAAAGCAATTTTTCCTAATTATAATGCTGAAACACACTAAAGAGGAAGATTTAACATGTAAGTTTGATTTGTTTCATGCCTTTAGGTTTCTGGGTATTTAAGATTTTTATTTCTTTCTTTTTCAAATTCCATCAAACCATTTCTTTATTCTTTATCTGTTTTTTTTTTCAGTATTTAGTAACTAAATATATAGCAACATAACAAAAATGCATGTATTTTTTAATCTCTTCAGGAAACAGATCTATTTATACAGATAATTTTTAAATCTTCAGAGTTTAACAAGATGTTTTTCTCTGTCACAGCTTTGGCTTTAAGACTTTCCACATTTCTTCAGTTTGCTGTTTGGCTACAGCATCTTTTGAATAGTCAAGACAGTTTGCATTCCACATGCCGATGCCCAGTAAACCATAGTTTTGTATATATGCTGCCTTCAGAGAAATGCTCTGAGGGTTATCATACCACACTTGATGAAAATATCCAGCAGGATCCTACACAAATAAATTAAAATAGAAACTTAAGGTAGTTAGTACAGTAAAAGGGAAAAAGGTTTCTTAAATTATTCAAAAAGCAAATTATTCAAAAAGGAAACATGAAAACTTCACAGCACAATACTTTCCTGCTTTATTATTCCATGGTTCTGTATCAGCTATTTCCTAGAGATTAGTGTTTATGGCACTTTTAACAACAAAGATTATACAAATGAGTCTCCTAATGTAGACTATTTAAGGTCCTTCTCATGTTCTAAGATTCTCTCCTTGATCTGATGCAATGATTGTCAACCAAGATGTATATCTGAATCATTGTAAAGGTTTTAAAAATATAGATCCTGGGGCTGTGGGTATGGGCCAATGATAGAGCACTTGCCTAGCATGTGCAAAGCCCTGCATTCAATCCCCACCTCTACAAAACCCTGGATTTCTGGGCCCCATATCATGTGAAATCTATTGAATCAAAATCCTCCAGCAATGGTGCTGAGATATATATTTGTTTGTTTTGTGTATGTTCATTAGGTATTATGATATGCAGCTGAAGTTAGGGGGAACTACTACTCTGGTCCTTTAAAACAAGCTTACATACATTTTTATATTCCCTACAGTTCCTGGAAGTGTGCCTAGCTAGGAGCTTACCAGATGGGTTTTTTAAAAGATGAATCAGCCAAATCAAAAGGTAATGACGATGGAGGAGGAAAGTACCCACTTCTCCTGGTTGTACAGAATGGATTCTAAGAGACTGTTAGGCATGACTTAATAAGTAATTTAACACAGGCCCAATTAAGAATCATTAATTAGATTCTGATCTTATACTCACACACTCTCCCTGCACACCCCCCACGCCCCCATCTCTCTTTGGTACTGGGGATTGAACCTAGGGGCACTCAACCACTGAGCCACATCCCCATCCCTTTTTATATTTTATTTAAGAGATAGGGTTTCACTAGTTTCTTAGGGCCTCACTAAGTTGCTGAGGCTGGCTTTGAACTCACAATCTTCCTGCCTCAGACTTCCAAGCTGCTAGGATTATAGGCATGCGCCACTGCGCCCAGCCTGATCTTATACAGAGTTCTACTCTGTGTAGTTCTCTCTCAGGAAGCACATAAGCTACTGGATAAGAGATAGAGGATGCCAGGAGCAGTGGCACACACCTATAATCCCACTGGCTCAGGAGGCTGAGGCAGGAGGGTTGCAAGTTCAAAGCCAGCCTTAGCAAAAAGCGAGGTAGCTAAGCAACTCAGTGAGAGCCTGTCTCTAAATAAAAATACAAAATAGGACTGGGGATAGGGCTCAGTGGTCAAGTGCCCCTGAGTTGAATCCCTGGTACCAACCTCAAAAAAAAAAAAAAAAAAAAGAGGTAAAAGGAAAGGAGCAGACCTAGGCAAAAGAGTAAAGAAAGGAAAAAAAAGATAGGGACTAAGAGTAACTTACTAATATTTATATTCCTCTGGGAAACTGCAATTGTGAATAAATGCCAACCAATTTTTATCTATGGTAGTACTTCTGGAGTTAAAATGTTCTCCTAAGATGACTAATTTGAAGGTTATTGATAACTTAGTAAATTAATAAGTATAGTAGATTCATTACATACAAGCATATTGCATCCTAAATCTTGTACCTATCCTTTAATATTTTTAGGTTCTAAACAAAGCCATACATGTTGTAGTAACAGTTGTTGTTCACCATCAAAGGACAGCTTGCAAAACCTGCATCTAAATATGAAAAAATCTTTGAAGATTCAGGGGTAAACCCAAAGACATAATTCTGAATTTGCCGCCATCCTACTTAGTACTTTGAGCTTTTTTGATAGTTAATGAGAAATTTCAAATGTTTCAAAATAGTGAAGGAAGGAAGGGCAAATTGATTGATTTAGGCTGGTTAAAGCATAAAGTCCTTCCAGAATATTGAGTCCAAAATGAAGCTGCTAGGGCTGAAACAGCAGAAGAAAGCAGAATGAATTCTTTTCACACAACAGAAACTTGACTTTGATTACAGAATTTTATAATAAAAAAGAGGAACAAAACAATTATAACTGGATTGTTTTCTTAAATACAATTAAATGGCCTTCAAGGGTCATCAAAACGTTTTCTGAATTCTATAACTTCAAAAATGTGTTCTAGTTGGAAAATGGGTACCAAAACACAGAGTTAAGGAATAAATTCTGGTGCTCTGCAGCATAGAAAGATGACTATAGATCACAGTAACCTATTATATAATGTGTGGAGATCTAAAAGAGATGAGTTCAAAGGATCCAAACAAAGAGTCTCATCAGAATCTTTAGGTTACATTGAAATGTAGGCTTCCAGAGTTTAGTAACCTATTTTGGCCCAAAGCCCTTTCAAAAGCAAATTTTGTAACATTATTGTCAACTGTTAAGAAGTCATATTTGTAAGATGCATGTTTTTATAGCATCATCTAAATTGAGTAGCAAAGCAGAGTACTGCTCTGCCAGAAAACTAAAGTTCCTGATTACACAGATTCAAAGTCAAGTTTACATGTAAACAGTAGTCTGAATGTTGTACTCTAAAACTGATGGAAATTCTTTTTTTTTTTTTAAGAGAGAGAGAGAATTTTTTAATATTTATTTTTTTAGTTTTCAGCAGACACAACATCTTTGTTTGTATGTGGTGCTGAGGATCGAACCCGGGCCGCACGCATGCCGGGTGAGCACGCTGCCGCTTGAGCCACATCCCCAGCCCCTGATGGAAATTCTTACACCAAATGTCTAATTATAAAAAATATATAGTTATACAGAGGGGCTGGGGTTACAACTCAGTGTTAGAGAGCTTGCCTAGCACATATGAGGCACTGGGTTTGATCCTCAGCACCACATATAAATAAACTAAAGGTATTGTGTCCATCTACAAACTTAAAGAATTTAGAAATATGTATATAGTTATATGAAAATTAACAGAATAAATGTTCATAACTTGTAAAAAGTCTTACTTTGTAGTTATAATAAGGAGCCATCTGTTCTTTATTCCATTGGCTTCCAGAAATAGAACTATTTATTTGCTTCATGATCGTTTTATAGGGCACCTGATGTCCTGCAGCATCACTACAAGGAGCGCCCTGGAAAGGGACTTTTGCAATGGTACAAACATGATCCTAGAAATGAAAAAATATTCATGTTATAGATTATCAAACAAAGCTATTTATTATAAATAAAACATATTCAACAAAAAGAAAACTGACCATACAGAATAAAAGTTAAAGAAATTTTGTTATGAGATGAAAATGTATGACATTCAGAAGCTTCCATGTGATTAAATAATTTAAAATAAATTTTTAAGTTTTCAATATATTTTCAATATATTCTTAATGAAACAAAAGAGGCTCTAAATATATAATTGGAAAAAATGAATAACAAATGACTTGTTCTTACCTCAGAAAGATTCAGGCAGGTATAATCATAACCATACCAAGGAATACCCATCACAAGTTTTTTAGGGTTAATGCCCATCTTGATATAGTCTCTATACCCTAGTTAAGGAGAGAGAGAAAAAAACGTTTTTTCTTTTCAATATCTATTAATATGTTCATAGAAGCCATGCAACCACCCACAATCTAAGTTCATAAAAACTTTTATGCAAAATACTAATAGTGTTTCTCTAATATTATAAAATTAATCCCTTAAGAATTATAAATCCATATCTTGCTTTATACCCATTTCTTTTCGAATCAAAGAAGGCAAACTTCACAAAATCTAACTGCAGAAAGCATGATTCACTACAGGAAAATATGCTGATGTTATCTGTTCACTGCTAAGATATGATAAGTTTGATATTATAGATTCTAAAGTTTCATAAAATTTCTATAAATCTTAGGCTTTCTGGCAGTGATGCACTCAGAATTTTTTATAAAAAGCACAAGCATTCCATGTTTACTATATCCTTTAAGTATCCTAGCAATAGCCTGGGTAAAGAAATGTTTCTTATTCTATAGTAAATAATCTGTACTTGTAGGAAGCAAAAAGAAAAAAAAATGAACAAATTCTAGTACATCAATCATTTTCTTGCCCAATGCTATAGAGATACTTCCAGACTGTCTAGAATGTTGAACTACATAAATTTATTGCTTTTCAGAGCCTTTAATATTTACTCTGCCCTTAAATCCCAAAGAAGGGTAGGATATGTTTCATTTCCCAAGCACTTGAAAAAGAGCAGTATAGTGATTAAAATTAATCTCTTCCTTGAAACATTGTTTGAGAATCCCAGATTACTTTGTAATTTTAACAGAAAAGTGGTTATTTTTCAAATTTAAATAGTATATGCTTATGATCAGACTACTATTCTATTCAAATTAGATTACATTAAAATCAGGCTGGCTTCTAAGATTTTGACCTCTGTATGAAAAGAAAAAAAATTACTTATAAATTAACAACTAAATCTCAATACCAACTATCCTAGCAATTCCAATTGAGTACAAAAGATAGCTATCTTTTATTCTACTGATTGATGGAATACAAACCAATCCAACTTTGTAAAGGATAATTCAAAGACAATATCATGTGAACAACAGTTCAGAAGTACTCTTAATTCTTTCAGGAATATAATTTTTATGTATTATAATAATAAGATAAATCAATCCTATTAATTATAAATGGTATGTACTCATAACTGTCTTTGATGTTAAATTACTTAACAATTATTTTAACAAAAGTATCCTGTCATATTGTAGATAATCTTCTTCATGTGGTTTCATGACAAGCTTATTGGACTTTTAAATCACAACTGTAGAATTTTTAATAATTGTGAGACCATTAGAACTAACTCCTTTCATCTCATCTATAATGGAGGGTTAATGGTAATATATCTATCTCACAAGGTTAGGACAATTCTTAGAAGACTTAAGTGAAAACTTTGAAACTTTGAAACTTTTTGTAAAGACTAAATATCTCTGGATTAAATGATCTTTATATGTTTCAAGCAAGCTTTACAAATAGAAAGGGTACATACGTAACTAAGAATTTATGAAATATAGGTATATAAAGCACAAAGTTCTGGAATTAATGTTACTAATAAATGACCATGTCATGGATTCTTACCGGTTACTGTCTGATTATAGGGAGCATTGGCTGCTGCAATACATTCTGACCAGATCTGACTTTGTTCATCATAAGACATCACGAACAGAAAGTCACAAGCATCTGCAATTCCAGTGTAATTATAACACCTTCTGTCTATGTTTTTTGGAGACCAAGCTACATCAAAGGTTACCTGTGGAAAAACACATATGTCATTTTATGTACCATGATCAAACATGCACATTACACCAGATGGTTTTTTTAAATTATTCTCCTGTCTCATGCTACCCAAGAAAAAAGAACTGCTTTTGTCATATATGAATATAGGATTTGACACTCATAGAAATAGAAGAGTTCTACAAAATATGTCCCTTTTTACTACACTGGATTGGTCTAGACATATATTTGGATATACAATGATCAGAACTGGTGTACTGTATAGATGAGGAGATTTAAATCCAAATGTCTTCAGAAGCTGGGCTAATACAAGTGATTGAAAGAAGCAAGTTTAATGGCAATAGGGTGTGGTAGGACTACTGAACAATTAGAGAGTAAAAGCACACTAAAAAAATTTATATACAAAAGTTGTTAGCATAGCCTAACTGCATTTGAGCCCATGAGTCACAATTACCTTATATGGTAGGTTAGACCCATTATTATTACATTTAGAGATTAGTGAATGGTTTGTCACACAGGTATAAATTAATCAACTCAAAATGTTGAACAAAGAATTTAAATGGTCTTATTTTATGGAAATATTCAAAATAAAATGAGTGATATATTATCTTTCATTTTGAATGGTAAGCCAGCATTCAATAAGGATGTCTCTTTAAAATATCTGTTTATTACTTTAACCAAATATTAATTTTATGTTTAATGTGTATAAATGTTCAATATTATCACTAAAAGTCGTTTTTTCTTAATTAGGCATTCAGTAAACACTTATTGATTAACTTAAAAAATTGAAATATTTTAGGTATTTTTTATGCTTTGGCATAACTCATTTCAAGACTTTCTCAAAGCTCTAAGTCTTCTCAAAGCTTTAATTCACAATAAAGAAGGCTGTGCTTTACAAGTATAAGCTTTCCCCAATAGTTCTACCACAAAATAGCTTATGAAGTGAAATTTGTACATATTGGACCCTACTTTTTTACTACCTCCTATTTCAAAACAAAAACTAATTAGTAAAACAGATCAAATAAATGACTACCCTCTAAGCAGATAAAAATTTTCTGAATACTAAGTATATTCACCTGAATTTCCTATTACAATTAACCTTTTATTTTTGAGGAAGTAGTATTAGCATATTAGACAAGAAATCAAAAGACTTGGGTTCTATACAGTCTTGGCCCTGTTATAACTTGGTCTTTGCCACTGCTAAGTCACTTAAGATATCTGAGTTTGTTTTCTCACCTATAAAAATGAGGGTATAAAAACTCATCAAAGGCATTTCTAGCTCTTCATTCCATGACAACAATATTGTGAACTTAAATCATCAATCTTTCCTCCAAACTTATTTCCCACTCCAGATTCTATTTTGATCTTTTTTTTTTTTTCTTATCATCAGTTTAAGAACCATTTTTTGGCAGCGGAAGATACTGGGGATTGAACTCAGAGGACCGAGCCACATGCCCAGCCCTGTTTTGTATTTTATTTAGAGACAGGGTCTCAACTGAGTTGCTTAGCACCTCACTTTTGCTAAGGCTGACTTTGAACTCGTGATCCTCCTGCCTCAGCCTCCTGAGCCACTGGAATTACAGGCATGCGCAACCACACCCAACTTGGTTTAAGAATTTTTGAGCCATCTTCTGACTCTCTTCCTTCCTTCATACCCCAAATCTAATATCATATTATTTGAGTGGCCTCTCACAGTTGTTCTGCCCTTCCTTGTTCTTAATTAACTCAACAAATATTTATTGAATATTTGCTGAATGTTACTGATCTCTCATCCCAATCCAAAATGTAAACTTCAAGTTCCTAGATAATTGTAATAGTACTTATCTAGTCTTCCTTCTCCTCTAGTTTTATATACTATTATAGAATAATCTCCCCAAACACACTTCTACCCATATAACCTTTTCCATACAGAATAAAATGTCTAATATTCTGGATCTCCATAATATGGACTACCTTTTCAACTGTACCTCCAACTAATTCACCTAGTATAAACTTGACATAGCAGTCCAAATTGTTTTACTTACCCCTCAAACATGGAAATAGATTTTCCTATGTAAAGTCTTTGCTCAACCTCTTTGATCTTGCCTTTTCACTATAGCTTAATCAGAAATGGCAAATAGGTGGTTACCAATTCTAACCTATTAGTAACAACTATTTAGAGAAATAAGGAAACTTTTCTGAGACCAAAACTTATGAGGAGCAAAAGGTATAGTGCCCTATATGCCAGGCATATTGTTGATTGTACTCATTTGGAAAGCTAAATTCCAAACATGCCATACTTTTATAAAATCATAGAGCTGTCAGTCCCCATATCATTTATTATTTTCCAGTGATTCTCAAATTCTTGATGACAAACTACACCAGAATCACCTAGGGCACTTGGTAAAAATGCAGTTCCCCAAGATGAGAACTATTGAATCAATCTCAGGAAATTCTTACTGAGCTACATCCCCAGCCCTTTTTGCTTATTTTTTGAGACAGAGTCTCACTAAGTTGTTTAAGGCCTCAGTTAACTGCTGAGGCTGGCCTAATACTTGTGACCGTCCTACCCTCAGCCTCAAAAGTTGCTGGAATTACAGGCGTGTACCACCTTGCCCACCTAATCTCAGGAAATTTTAAACAAGCACTTACAGTTGATTTTGAGACCAGTTTAGGAACATAGAATTTACAATGTTCTGTCATGGAATAAACATACATGAATTAGTTCTGCATCTGTGGATTCTGCCAAGCACAGATTGAAAATATTTTTTAAATTATATACCAAGTCTATACATACAAGTCTGTACATACATGTATGGACTTTTTCTTGTCCTCATTCCCTAAGTAATACAGTAATAAAATCTTATGTATGTAGCATTTACATTGTATTAGGTATTATAAATAATGTAGAGATGATTTAAAGTATGCAGAAGTTTGTACATGGGTTTTATGCAAATATACCATTTTATGTATGGGACTTGAGCATCTGCAGATTTTGGTATTCACAGGGTATCCTGGAAACAAACTTTTATTGTCTAACCTAGTAGTTCTTAATTATAATCACCTATGAAACTTTTTTTAAAATTATGGCTTCTGGACTTACCCAAAACCTTCTGAATAGTAAGTTTTGAGTGTCCAGTATATATGTGTATGCACATCCAAGTGTTTATTCTTTTTTAAGACCCCTGGTTATGTTGATAAGTGGCCAGGATTGAGATCTGGAGCCACATTATCTTGTTACTACACATTGCCTGGAAAAATGCCTGTGCTATGATCTGCTCTAATTATGCTCATTATGGAAATGGGGAAGTATACTGCCTATTGTCATAGCTCCTATGAGTTCTATGGAATAAGTCCTTTGAGCTTTATTGTACTTGACTACTTCACAAGTAAATCAGACTATGGAGCAAGGGAGACATTTCCCAGAACTATCTCAACCCTTAGGCACCAGCTGTTTCTATCCTTCACTGGTTAAAGCCAGGTAGAACCTTCCTGATTCTTATTACCCATTGCCTATCCAATGTCCATACCCCTACTGCAAGGCAAGCAGGTAGAGTAATCCCAGTGTTGTATTTTGGTTTGAATAGAGACCACTTAGGACTGTAAAATTCCTTAAATAATAAAATTAATACTTCTATGCTGGGTGTGATGGTATATGCCTGTAATCCCAGTGGCTTGGGAGACAGGAAGATTGCAAGTTCAAAGCTAGCCTCAGCAAAAGTGAGGTGCTAAGCAACTCAGTGAGACCCTGCCTCTAAATAAAATACAAAATAGGGCTGGGGATGTGGCTCAGTGGTTGAGTGCCCCTAAGTTCAACCCCAGTACCAAAAAAAAAATTTTTTTTTAGAAAATAGGTGACAAAATTCAAAATTCTTTCCCATTCCATCACTATAAACATTATATTAGTCATACCTTCATTTTTAGAGGAAAATATGGAGTTTCCAAAAAATAAATGAAAGTTTACCTGTGATCCCTCAATCTCACGATGGAAAGAGTTTGTGGTTTCTTTGACTAATGCTGTTAATGCATCATATTCAGGTGATAAACAAGTAACTTCTTGCTCTATATCTATATTAATTCCATCCATATATTGTGTTTTGGCCAAATCCAGTTTTTGAGCTATCCAGGATGTTCTGAAAGTAGGATCAATGATATCCTTTATGGATACATCTCCTGTGAAAGAAATAGACATCTTTTGTGTGTGTGTGTATATATATATATTTTTTTTAATATATGTGTGTGTGTGTTTCACAGTTCAGTGCTATTTATTTCACAAACCCATTTTCAAAGAAATCAAAATTTCTTTAAAACATCTCATTATTTTGGAATACTAAGCCCTAATCTAAGTTTTCCAAATGGAGAAATCAGGTACTAAAATGACATAAAGCTATTGCTGGCTAATATCCAAAATAACTACTACAAATAAAATTCCCAAACTAGAAGCAGAAATTTTGGCCTATTACTAACTAAAAGTCAACATGCTAATTTGGCAGTCATGCTTTACTCAAAACCATGAAGTAGTTTATTTAATTCTTTAAAAACATCTGTATTTGTGAAATGGAGTTAGTAGTATGTAAGATTAATTTTAAAGTTTGAAAAAAATAGATAAACAGAAAAAAGGAATTTTTTAAAATACTATGAATTAAACCCAGGGGTACCCTATCATGGAGCTACATCTCTACCCCTTTTTATTTTTTAAGGTAGGGTCTTACTAAATTGCTGAGGCTAGCCTGAACTTGTGATCCTCCTGCCTCAGTCTCCCAAGTAGCTGGGATTACAGGTATGTACCCAACTGAAAAAAAATATCTCCCCTTTTTTTCAGTCGGGTATACATATATATGTATATATGTATGTATATATATATTTTTTTTTTCCTAGTAAGAACTATAACAAATGATAGGTAAATTTACTAATTGGCTAAACAAAACAAAACACACATACCTTTCAGAACTACTCTGGCTCCTTTTGAATGAGCATAGCATATAAGTTCTGGGTCATATTTTCCAAAAACTGCCACAGTTGTAATCTGTGACCAGTCATAAGATTTCCAAGTTTTCCCTCCAATATCAAATACAAATACCTGCCAGAAAAACAGGGATAAGCACCATCATTTAAATCAAGAATATCATGATAACCACCCAAAATAATATTAAATATCACAATATACCAAGCATTATATCAGGCACTGAGGGTCCAAGAGTGAATAAGATATAAGGGTCCCAGTGTAATTGGTGGCAGAGTAATTAGCCAGGTCTGGAAAGTAGAGGACAGGCCAGGAAGAAATAGTGCATATGACAAGGTCTGGAGGCACAAAGAGCTTAATGGTTGGGTAACTATTTAGTGTGGCCATGCCTAGAGTTTAGAAAGAGAACATAGAAAAGAACCAGAGTGTGGTAGGTAGGGGTTCAGTCATGAAGAGACTTGTAAGCCATTGGAAAAGTTGGTACTTATTGTGAGTAAAAGGAAGAAAATAGTAAGTTTTTAAAATGAAAAAGTATTCACTTTAGAAAAATCCCTTGAGCTGAAGTGTGAAATGGATTAAAGAGGGGCCAAAGCTGGAGGCATAATAGAGAAGCTCTTGCATGAATCTATGCAAGAGATGATGTGGATGGAGCACTGGAGATGAGTGAGGTAATTGAATAGATCTGGGAGAATTAGAGGCGGCTAATTAACAGGACTTTGTGACTAATGGAATGAGCAAGGCAAGGGAAAGGAGTTTGATAATACTTAGGTTTCTGGCTTCTACTGATGAAGCCATAGTTACTGCATTTGTTACTATATGTTTTTGATGAGGGTGACTTCTTAGAATACTATTACAGTTCAATCCTAAGAGCTGATGCTGTGTTTCTCCAGTATTTCCCTCCCAGCTAATAGTAGAAGCTCTGAAGTTTTATTATTCATGTTTGTTTTATCCCAAGGTACTGATTCAGCAAATATTTACTGAATTTCAATACAATGGGAGGGTGGTATTTTGCAAGGCACTAGGGATATAGTGGTTAACAATACATACCAGGTCCATTGGGAGTTAATCAGTTACAACAATACTCCTGGCCTTAAACAAATACACGCAGTCATAACACTATATTAAAGGGGACCCACTAGCCAGGTGGGGCAGGAAAATTCCCAGATGGGGAGGACTAAAAACTGTGGAATGACAATGGAGGAAGATTCTAATGGACAAAAAAAAAAAAGCATTCTCAGATGAGGGAACAAAAAATCCAAAGTCCCTACACTTCAGAAGGATTTTGAGACTCTGAAAGTGAGATAATCATGTAGAACACAGAAACCTTCACTTTATGTGGAATCACAACTGGGATATTTGGCAAGATCATGTAGTTTGTAGACCACAGAATTTTGGATTATAACCTAGGATAGATGGGAATCCATTAGTTTGAAGCAGAGGAGGGGCATAAGATTTGCTCTAAAAAGAAATTGACGATGGAAGCTATTGTGAGAATGGATGTGGGAGAGGCCCAGGGGAACATCAACTATAAAAGTTAGAAATCTCTTAATTTTCTCAAACCCCCCCCACCTTTTTTTAACTTTTCAGAAGTATCTTTTAAGCAACAGCACAATGAAATAATAAAAATTACAAAATGTGCAACTGAATGGCTCATTGTCTTTGGACTCATATTTCTATCAAAACATCCCAATTTTAATTCTGATAGTTAAGGCTGAATTTGTTTTTTAAAAAAACTATTGAGAAAAAATAAGTTAACATAAGTTCAATCTATTGGGGGAAAAAACTCTTGAGGGGCTGGGGTTGTGGCTCAGAAGTAAAGTGCTCACCTAGCATGTGTGAGGCACTGGGTTCAATACTCAGCACCACATAAAAAAAGAAAAAAAAATTCTGTCCTCCTATAACCCAAAAAATAAATATTTAAAGAAACTATTGAGAGCCTGTGATATAATAGAAATTCTTAAAAACATTAATAATTGGATGAACCAGTGGAAAATATGGGAAAGCCACAGGAATGTGATTTAGGCTAGGAGTGAATGTTTAGTATGCACAGGCCTTGCATTCAATTCCCAGCCCTCAACTCCCCCCAGTTACATATAATTTATTATATATAATCAATTGTGGGAGGAAGCCACATAATCTAGACTTCCTACTCGAATACAAAAAAAAAAGCCAATAAAGGATCCATTTACTATGAACATACAAATAATACATAATTTTGCTTCTTTATAAAACTGATTTCTTAAAATACCCACAAACACTACATGGCCCAAGTATTGTAAGCTACAAAAAAAAAATCAGACTGTTAAACAAAAACCGCTTAATTGGCTCGTCATTCAGCTGAAACAGCTCCAGTGCCTCCGATTCCCACTTAAGCAAAGTGCAAATCAATGTAAACAGTAAAAGGAAATAAACTTAACCAATCAGTAACCAACTACCTCTAAGCAGGGACTTTCCACCAGATCATACCCATATAGACAAATACCTACCCAGAGCCAATCAAGTAATTTGTCTCCATGTTCAGCAGATAATAGCCAGCCTTACACTTTGGACCTCTCTGAGCTTTTTATGGTTTAAGTGCTACCAAGAATCATGAATTTTTCTTTGCTATTTAATTGGTCTAAAATTTTTGTTTCAGGGAGATGTTAAGTTTCCACACTAGGTAGGCTCTCCAAAATACTTTCACCAATTCTATTTCTTTTCCTAAAGTATGTATATGTACTTTTTAAAATTGGCATTTAAATGCCCCTGCCTCAAAATTAATAATTTAAGAGCTAGGAATTGTTTCTATTTCTACAAACAAGGATTCTTTGGACTAAATTTTCTGATCTCCTTGCCTCCAATTCCTGCCAGTCATTAAACTCCAGATGGTTTTCATATTGCTTCGGAAAGGGTGTTTGCCAGAAGCCTTATAAACTGTTAGATTTGGCCAGGCCAGGTGTCACAGGACTGTAATCCCAGCGGCTGAGGAGGCTGAGGCAGGAGGATCATGAGCTCAAAGCCAGCTGTAACAATTTAGGGAGGCCTGAAGCAACTCAGCTAGGCCCTGTCTCTAAATAAAATATTTAAAAGGCCTGGGGATGTGACGCCCCTGGGTTCAATCCCCAGTACCAAAAAAATAAACAGGCTGGTGTACTATAAAATAAATTTCTTGGTGGTGTGGGGGTGCTTTTATAAAGGGCTAATAAGTATAAAAACTAAAGGTAAGGAGAACATCCTGCCTTCCAATGTACTGTTGGAGTGCTAAAATTCTTCATACTAAATCCTCTTTCTCTTGGAAGCCAAGAAATGGATCATCCTATCACCCTACTCTCCTTGTGTATACACCCTGGTGCTGCCCCAGGAAGCAGAGCAGGATGATGAAAGGAGTGGGCCAGCTGAGGATTTGAACACTTGCCCACCCAGTCAGCCGCTTAGCCTGTGAGACTTGGAAGCAGTTCCTCAACCTGTCTGCGCCCAAGTTTCCTCATCCATAAATTGTAGGCAATCCGTAAATAGGACAGCCTTCGGCGAGTGGTCAAAGTAGGTGTCAGCAGCACCACCACCTCTAGGTAGGGCTCCGTCCCTCTCTTAACTTCTCTCCGGGCTTTTAGGGCCAGACCCGGAAGCGCAAAAAAGCGACGCTGACCTCAAAGTCCGGGCGGTGTTGGATCGGGCTGCAGAGCTCGGGCTCCGAGCACGGGCAGTGGGTCCCCGCCGCGAGCAGCGGCGCCAGCGCCAACAAGAGCAGCAGAGCAAGCCTCGGGTCGCCGCGAGGCGCGCGAGCGAGGAGGCGCGGGCGCCGGAGCTGGGGCCACGACATACCAGCTGGGGAGCGCGGCCTGCCAGGCGCGGAGCTGGGTCGGCACTCGACTACCGGCTTTGGGACGGTGCCCGGCCGCGGCCCTATGAAAGCCGCTGGCGCGGGGCCGGGAACGTCCCCGCAGCCTGCCGGCGTCCTGCAGGCACGCCTAGCGCGCGGGTGGCTGAGCCGGATAAATACCGATCCGCGGCTCGTTCCAGCGAGTGGCTCGTCGATCTGTGTCGCGGTTGCTTGGCACTCCTTGTGGAGCCTAAGGACAGAGAAAGACCCCAAAATGGAGAAGTAGGGTGTCTTTGAAGCTGATGACGCAGCAATATAGATGCAGTGGCCAGAAAGATTGCTGTGGTTGTAAGTGCTGAGTTAGGGTGGAGGCTGAAATACAACTTCCTCCGTGTCCAAACTCAGGAAAAACCCAGACCCACCAGGACAAAGGTGACAGCAACAAAATGCCAGAAGCTAGAAAGCATTAGTGTGAGAAAGCAAAGAAATAGATGAAGGCTGCTTGAAAAGCATTTATGTTAGTGAACCCAGATTCAGTGGCTACAAATGGAGAAAAGGGACAGCGGTTTGCAGATGGACTTCTCAGCTCCAGGGACTTGAGGAGTTTACAGGATAGGAATAATGAGAAGGATAGGCTAGCAAAGGAGAGGAATATATGTTTTCTGGGAATAAGTGGAGATCTTTCAGGTACCCAGGGCCATTTTCACTCCTTTCATGGCCCGGTGTTTCCGGTCATGGTGGCTGGTAGGTGTCTTTACCCTTGGGAACAGGGAAAACAAGGCAGGTCTAGGTCAAGTTAACCCTATTTCATAGTTTTGGACAAAACATTTCTCAAATGTTAAACAAGTATATGTGCAGAGCTGAGTAGAATCTGACTCAAAAGTTAAGGCAATAAAGGAGACAGACACCGTATGAAAAGAGAGGTGCTTTTTTATCATCTATTTTCCTGCAGGAACTAAATGATTCTACCAGAACAATTTTAGAGGAGGAAACATTTATTTGCGGGGTTCTTGGTTTCAGTGGTCTTAGTTCATCAAAGGCTGACTCCATTCCTCTGCCCTGGAAGTGAGGCAGAACATCATGGCAGAAGAGCATGATTCACAAGATGAGCAAAAAGCCAAGAGGCTCCACTCTTCAGATACAATATATATACCCTATAGCCACGCCCCCAATGCTCCATTTCCTCCAGCCACACTCCACCTGCCTCCAGTTACCATTCAGTTAATCCCATCAGGCATTGATTCCTGATTGAATTAAGGCTACAGCCCAATCAGTTTCCCTCCAGACCATTTTGTATTGTCTCACACATGATCTTTTCATCTGATTCTAGTCACACACGGTACAACCATAGACACAATTGAAGAGTTATTGTTTTCAGCAAAAGAAGCCTTCAGGTACCTGAAAAGTAACCTAGGCAACTCTTATCATCATAACTCACCTTTCAGAGGTGTTATCTACAACAAGACTAGCAGGAAACAACTATTGTATTGCCGAGCTATGTGACCTCCAAAATTAGTGATTTATAAGTCAATTCAGAGCAAATGAAGCTAGAGGGTTTAAGTTTTTTCTTGGTAAGAATTAAACCGCCAGATCCTTTCTCCAGTTTCAGGTCCCTGGTCATCTATCCTGCTCCCACCTGTATTGAAGTTGGGAGGTTTAATTTTCTGGAGAGGGGAGCTTCCCTGGTGAGTGTTTGAGTGCTATACCTAAAATGGGAGTAAATAAGCAAAACTTTGTGCCACTGAAAAAGAAAGACCCCTCATCTGTATCTCTCCCCATGCTGACCAAAATCTGACTAATCCAAGAGGTTAACCAAATATACCAACAATGAGGTTGGTATCATACACCAGATCACCCTATAGTGAAATTCAAAGTCAAAAGCAAGGGCCATTCAAAGATTCCTCTTTTTTACTCATGTTTTACTTTATCATAGTCCACAACCAAGAAAATCTAATAATATAGAAAAATCCTAAGAATCAGAAAAAGGAATATGGAGGAAATAGAAATGCAGAGAGTTGTTTTTTGTTTTTTTTTTTTTTTCTACTGGGGATTGTATCCAGGACCTTGTGCGTGCAAGATAAGCACTTACCAATAGAGTTAAAAACTGTGAACCAACCTAGATGCCCTTCAGTAGATGAATGGATGAAAGAAAATGTGGTGTATATACACAATGGAATATTACTCAGCAATAAAAGAGAATAAAATCATGGCATTTGCAGGTAAATGGATGGCATT